AAAAGATAAATATGAGGTGATGAATGGATTGTTAATGAGGGGAATATTTTCACAATGTGCATGTGTATCAAATGATCACAATGTAAATCTTAAATATCTTACAATTTTGTCCACTATACCTCAACAAAGCTAAAAAAATTTACAGGTGGCACTATGGAAAAAAATAAAGTGGATGAATGTTACCTAGACTTATTTGCTGATCATTTCACAATATATACTAACATCAAATCATTATGTGTACGCTTCAAATAGGTTAATTATATTTCAACTTTTACAAAAGAATAAAAGAGTGTATACTCTAGTTTTGCTGTCAGGTAGGGCTCTGAATCATTTGTAAATAGACATTTAAGCAAAACACTGAAAGCTAGAGAGAATCCAAAAATGTGAAACAATAAAGGAACGTAAAACTTTGTCCAAATAATTTAGGAACTAGAAACACTTAACCTGAAAGCTGGAAGGCACGTCCCTTTTGTTGGTTTTAATATTAGGAAGTGAAATGTGCATGTGAGAATGTCTTAAAAGGCAAAACTAAGAGCAATACGTGAAGACTCAGCAAAGCAAACCGTGGCTTATTTGCAGGAAAGGTTAAGCATACAAAGCACTCCAACGGCAGGGACCGCTCCTGCAAAAGCAAATGGCCACCCTGATGGAGCCATGGGAAGGATTGCGCTTCCTGACACTCTGGTGATCAGGCATATAATTCCAGGACGCTTAAGAGTCTGATTCCGAGTCCAGAACATTTTTACAAAGTTATCAAATTCCTTAGGCTGTGAAATAGTGGCTCAGGTTTCTCACTGTGCCTGTTTTCCAAATGACTTGGCATTTTGCTAACCCTCTGCCCACCTGTTGGTTCGGACAGGCTATGGAACGCTGCACAAGAGGGCAGAGCAGGCAGGTGAGGCACTCTGTGTTTCCCATGTTCCCTCCCACCAGAACCTTTCCAGAACCTGGTCGGTTTCTGTGCCAGTTGTCAATTCATAGTCTCTCAGCTCCAAATTCACCCTGAAAGGGCTCTCCTGCTTTCTGGTAGCTGCACCATCAGTAAACAAGGTGGGTATGAAGCCATCCTGCGCAGAATCCCAGAATGTATGACTCCCCTTGGCGACGTCCCAGACCTGGCCCGGGCTGGCGATCACCTTCCTTCAGCCCTTCCAAGACTAACACCTCAAGGCCAGTGTCCTGCCAGCACTGGGACCGCTCTCTCCCTCTGCGTGCCCCCAGCCACAGCTTCCCTGAACCTTGGAGGGTGGCTTCCTGCTTGTCTAGTGACTGAAGACTAACTCTGGTCTGGAGAGACCAGTCAACTTCTCTGTCACCCAGTGGGCTGCAGTTACCCCGTCTTCAACAAGGCCCAAACCCAAATCTCAGGACCCCTTGTCCAAGTCTGTCCTTCCTTAGGTACTCCCCCTCAGCTCTGGGGTACCACACTGAGTTCCATCTTATCTTGGTCACAACTGTAAACATTTTTATGTTAAATTTCCTTTGCTTAAAATTGTGTGGTTTTGATTTTGGATTAGACCCAGACTGATAGTTTCCCATCAAGCCAGGCTCAAGGAAGCATCATAATGAAAACGAGCCACTGAAAGTTTTCCTAGACTGTTCCAGATTATAAAAGTTTGTATCTGATGAAATGCAAAACATATGCAAACTGAAAAATCTTAAAGTTTTGAGGGCTCAAGGGGGTTAGAAAGCTTATAGCTAAGTCATCCAAAATACATAAATGTTTATCTTATTTCATAAACAGCAGTAGCAACAATCAAAAGAAGTAACTCTTCCAAAATAAAACAAGAAATATAATAGCTAAATGAGTGATGGGGGAAGGAAAAGAGAAAGCCAACCTACCAGAGTTTGGAAGGTTGGAAAGTTTGGAACAGGAAATACAAGACTTGGTCAGGGCTTTAAATAGCCAAGTAAGCTTTTAGATAACCTACATGAAAGGAAACACAGTGTTTCAAGTACAGAAGTCATATGCACGAAGGTGAGAACATCTCCACAGGAAGCTTGGGAAACTGAGTGAAGCACTTCAGTCGCAGCACGTTTGCTGGACTAAATACAAGGCTACAGTGGTGGTGCGCAGCCGGGCCTTGCAGGCCAGTCGGGGCTGTGTGAGGGCTGAAAGTGAGGCGAGGCAGGCTTAAGGCTAAAACGGGTATTAGGAGGCGAAGGGACTAGTCTGCTAAGGTGCTGAAGGATGGATAAATGTTAACTCTGATACACTGTGAGAAAGGTCATGACACAAGTAAGTCTGGTCTAGGGTAAAGCAATGTAGAATAAACTGGGAAGGTAAAAAGCTAAGTTTTTTTTGTTCAAAACAGGAAAATGCTCTTAACCACAGATGACTCTGCAATGTGTTCAGGTTAGGCCTACGTTTGTCCCGATCGTGATAGGCACTGCAACCCAAGCCAACATCTACCCATGGATGAAACTTCCAACTGATGGAGGGAATGGAATGACACACAGACTCACATTTGAAGAAACTTCGGTTGCTGAGAAATTACCAATTTTATTGGCCTATTACTTCTTTTGTCTCCTTTCATACCACGTGCCTTTTGGCAAGTTCACTTCTTTGTGATAGCACTTCCACCAAATAGGTTTTGGGACACTAACGGGTATGACAGGAAAAATGAGACAAAACTCCAAATCTACGAGTAATTGCATATATTCAAAATACAGGTGGGAGAAGGAAATCTTGTCCTGATGCACCTTCAGGCAACATACTGGTATATAACTATATGTAATTCAACAAGACAGTATCGCAAGCATTAGATACAAAATACCCCAAATATCGATATACAGAAATTTCAACAGGAAATAACATCAAAAGAGAATACATGTAACTCAGACAAACCCAAGACAGAGTTCGCCAATTTGGTCAGAAATCTCCATGAAGCTGAAATGAATTATCAGAGAAAATAATTAGCCGTAGGGTTCTTATTGATAATAAAGAAAATACAGTTGAGTTTTGTTGTTACATATGCATGACACTTCTATCCCTTGATCTCAAATAACTTTTGGAATTAGATTAAATTATTTTCATATTCAATTAAAAATTATGTCTTATTAAAATTGTTTTCTACTTAACATTTTTCAACATACCTAAAAGATTGATAAAATTTTATATTCACAATACAGTTTTAAAAAATCTAATTGTTCTCATTATCTGCTTTAAATTCCCAATTCAGCAGTCTTAACACTAGAGTCTCCCTTTTTTCCCAGGAAATTGAAAAATAAAAGATACTGAGCCTTGGCCGGGTGGCTCAGTTGATGGGAACGTAATCCTGTACAAAAGGTTGTAGGTTTGATGCCCGGTCAGGGTTCATACCTAGGTTGTGGGTTCGATTCCTGGTTGGGAGGCAATCAATTGATGTTTCTCTCTCACATCAACGTTTCTATCTCTCTCCCTTCCTCTTGCTAAAAAAAAAAAAAAATCAATGAGCATATCCTTGGGTGAGAATAAAAGAAAATTTTTAAAAAATACTGGAATATTTAACATGTAATAAATTAAATAAATTCTTTAATTTCTTCAATGCTTGTCATTTAGTTTTTCTTAGTTTATATTTTTTTTAAGCTGGAATTAATCATTTTGATAAGTATATTCCCTTTTTAGGTAAAAGACTAAACTTCCATATTTAACAAAATAAAAATGCTGGTAAATATAATCAAGTTTCTTAAAATATTAGTTATAACAAAATTTTAGAACAGGCTTATCTTATTTAGTATTGGAGGTGTGTCCTTGCAAATGCGACTACTAAGCAAACCAGTGCTATTCAGAGTCATTATACATAATCCCTCTGGAGATGCTTTCTAAGTATATATTCTGTCTGATCAAGATATATTATGTAATTAGAAGTTTATTACATGATATCTTTATCTTCTTTGCCTTCTTCAGAATTTGCCTGATAGTGGATTTCACTAAGCCTGGAGCATGATCAACCCAGATCTACTTGATGTTCACCTGCTTAAAATCTGCAACAGCTGAGCCACATTTTTAATCATCAAAGTAATGCCTTATTTGATTGGATGCAAACTATTAGCTGAGAAGCAGAAGACCATGAGATAATCAGAAAATGGAATGTCACTGGCAGATACTTCCACAGAGTCATCAAAACAAACTTACTGAGGCAAGAGACTCAAACTCGGCAGGAAAACAGTATGATGACTCTGACTCACTGGCCAGGGAAAAAAGAGAGGGTCAGCTCTACATTTTTGACAGTAAGTTCTATACCAAAGGTTTTATAGAGAGCTGTAAATTTGGAGAAAGTGAAAAGCAAATTCTCTGACCTAATGTACTTAGAAATTCCTGTCTGATAATAAAGCTACTTAGCAAAGATGCTGCCACTGGCTAAAGTGTTAATTTGTAGTATTTGTGTACACAGACAGGCTTTTTAATATGCTTCATCTGTCACACTTTATAACAATTCTTAGTTTTGTGGTAAAGAAGACAGCTCCACCCACTTCCAGGTAGAGACAAACTTTAAAGACTACAGACTGCTTTAGAGAAAATTCAGTTCTTACAAAATAGCTTTAAAATAGAGTATTGCTTTCTATTTTCCATATTCATTTCTTAAGTTTAGCTATAAAATCTCATAAATTGGTCACTGATCTCAGTTTTTACTAATTTGAGCTAACCCCAAAACTAAAATCTAGGAAATAATCTAATATCAAAATATTAAATTCTCAAGTATCCCCCAAAATGTTTTGTAAACTGTCAAGTATTATCAAGATTATCTTAAGCCCTGGCCAGGTAGTTCATTTGGTTAGTGTCATGCCAGTACACCAAGGTTGTGGGTTCGATCCCAGTCAGGGTACATACAATGTGTAAATAAGTAGAACAACAAATTGATGTCTCTCTTCTCTCTCTCTCCCCCTCCCTTCCTCTCTCTCAAAAAAAAAAAAAAAAAAAAAAAATTATATTACAGAGAATCACATCAAAGCATTAATTAAATGCTTCTCTTGGATTTCACAACATAAAATAATATTCCNCTAAAAAAAAAAAAAAAAAAAAAAAATTATATTACAGAGAATCACATCAAAGCATTAATTAAATGCTTCTCTTGGATTTCACAACATAAAATAATATTCCTTTTAGCACTGAACCACCTCATTATTAATGTTATTGGCAAATACAATGTATCTTAAATATTTGATTAACAAAACTTAAAAGCAACATACTTCCATGTGGAACAGATACACCACAACAATTTTGATATTCCTTTAAGCTCCTTAAAAGTGGATGCTAACTGTATCAAAAAGTCTATTCCGCTTAAAGAGATTTTAAACAGAAACAAGGAAGTTTCTTAATAATCCAGAACCAGACAATAAGATGATGAGGATGCTGAAGGTTAAGTCCATGTGAGCTTCAAGAACGGAAATCATCCATCTTAGAATATTAGACATTTGCTGGCCTGAAGACCAAAGTCAGACTACAGGACACAGTGTAGGTCCTTTCAGTTCACATTCTGGTATTTTGGCACAAAATGAAGATAGGTCACAAAACCTATAGACATTTTCAAGTTTGTTTTTAAATATATAATAATTGAAGCAATCAGAATAGTGTATGGCTTATAATTACTTTGCCAGTTTAAGCAATAGGAAAAAAAATACATTTTTGTTTTGTGGTGACTATTTATTGATTAGACTTTTATTTTCCTCTTCACATTTTCGGTGTCTGTTTCCCACTGGTATCATCAACCAGGTCTCTCAGGCGAGATAAATGGTGCAAAGCCCTTCATTAAAAAGTATAAAACACATTGTAAACCAGTATTACGAACTGAACAGGTGACACAGACAGCAAGAAATGGTGACTACCTTGTTTATTAACTTCCAAGCTAGTGGAAGGAATGAACTCATAGAATAACAAGTATCATACTCTGAGGGTTTCTCTTTAGAAAACCTTGATACCTGAATAACTGAGGGTCAAAATAATTTATCTAAAATTCTATAAAAGCATTTACTTTTAAAAAATTATATTTTTGGCATTCATTTTTGCTTGTTCTTTTGAAAGTTTGACAAGGAAGCTTAGTAAGAAACAATAACAGGTATTATTTATCATCACACTTAACAAAACATTTTTTTTCACGTAATTTTCACAACAGGTCTGTGAAATAATACTTTTTTGGTATACGGTGTATATCATTTCAGAAACAATGTGTATAGTTTATTTTTAACATGTACATTCAAGATAGCTAAAATTAAAAATAAAATAACACTAAAGGAACAGTTACACTTCTGAGGAAAACTCATTTTTATTGAGCACGGAGGAAACAAATGACAATTATGTTGAATAATGTAGCATTATACCAACAACCAGGTTTTCGTCAAAATAAAGCTAAGATTATAGGTTGGGTATCAGTGGAGAAAACTCAGTCATCTCTCAAACAAACCAGGAAGAGAGGCCCTTAACTTTCTAATCTTCCCCTGAAAACACTGTTCCAGTTTTTCCTCTCTATCCTTCAGATCTGAAGGCCACTCAGAAAGTGTCAACCGTATTAATCAACCACACTTCAGATCTCTGATAAGTAAGAAATCACGAAAAACATATAATACAACAATGTGTGCAGTAATCTCTATGGTTAATTTTAAGGTGAGCTAAAGGTGGTAACTACAACAACCTACCCTACAGTCTCTAACACAGGCTTAATAAATGAATATTAAATAAAATATATCCTCTACTTTACCCAGGATAAAGAGGTGGAGGAAACTAGTAGTATTAATAACTGTATTTTGTCTATTGCCCATTTCTCTTTCTTGGACACTTACAAATATAATTAATGAGAAGAATCTGGATTCTACTACCTTCTCGGCAACTTTAATTTCTGAGATTCTCATCTTCTTTAACTAAATGACAATAACTCAACCAGTTATTAAGCAATCAGATTAACTAGACCCTATCATTTCTACATCCTATAGTAATATCTCTCTACCTAAAGAATTATTTTCTTCCTAGAGACATATAGCTACGAGAAAAAAGATAATTTGTAAATATACTTGGGAATTATCTTCCTTTTTCTTTTCAGGTGTGTTATTTAACTACCTGTGATTCAAGAGAAAGAAAAAGGCAAGTGACTAGAGTCTTAATTTTACTTACTGTTTATGACCCCAATGGCCAGATTCCTTGGATTTAAAGGGTCTATGAAACTGAGTGGGGGGAGGGGGGGAATCCCCATCTTTATTTTCACTAAATACCATCTGTAAATTAGAATTCTTTCCATTATGCATATAAGCAATGGACCAAAATCTGTGACGTCATATGCCACAGAAATTGAAGATATTTTCATTAGTCATGCAGGAATCTTAAAATCTTTTAAATTCATCACTACTTCAAAATTATAATAGTTACATGATAGTCACAGAATTACAGTAAGTATCAAACCCACTGCTAGAACACATGTTATCTAAGCCTTTCTGTCTATAGTTCATATGACATAACTGGCCAACTACTAGACAACTTTAAGCCTAGTTTGTTTATCCACTGAATACTGAGGTCTCACTGGTGACCCAGAAATTAATACTTTATAAATACAGTTGTCCCTCGGTTTTCAAATGTAACCTGTTCCAGAAGGCCATTCGAGTTCTAAAATGTTGGAAAACTGAGGGATCCACAGGCGACAGCTAGGCCTCCGGCAGAAGCCATATGGCATGTTCCACTTCCGAGGCATGTTCAAAAACCGAAGCATTTACTTCCAGGTTTACGGGTTCGTAAACCGAAAAGCTCAACAACGGAGATGTTTGAAAACCAAGGTACCACTGTATTCCCTTTCCCTGATTGTTTGCTGACCAACATGTGAAATAAGTAAAAGACCATGCCATGACTTAATGCTTTTACTCAAGCGATGCAAAAGGCCTTCATATTTATGTTCTTACAAAATGAATTTTAACTTACCTATATTTTAAACGTATTGTCTTATTTTAAATGCATTAATAATCACATATTACTAATTAGGAATTTATCTTAATATTTTCATAACTATAATTCAATATAACTGGTTTCCTTTCTAATCCTAAGCAGTTTATTTTATTCCTTTACAAAACAACGTCTGGGAGAAAGGAAGGGAGGGAAGTAGAGGAGAGGGGTGCGGCATGATGGGAAGGAACGAAGAAGCTAAGTATAAATGAAACCTCCCTTCCCTTACCCTCCACCTGCCCAGCTGAGCATAAAACAATCTACTTAGAGGAGTGCGCAGGGAGAAGCAGAGGCTGAAGCTGCAGGAGGGAATTATTATTTTTCTAAAAATGTGAAAAAACAGGCCAATGGGGAAAATATCGATTTAAGGGTTATGATATGACACTGACTACAGCCAAGTGAAATGGTGTTATGAAAGTAAAAATTAATCTTAGCTTTTCCTAAACCCAGTACACCATCTTCTGAGGGCACTTCATATTCACATAACCAAACCCACAATAAATGCCCTTCCCCTTGCCAATTAGGAAAGACATGTATTCGTCCCCATTTTTTAAGTATAATGTAGCCAAGAAAATAGGTGGATTAACACCCTTAGGGCATTCAGACCTACCTTTATATCCAGGCATTATATCTACTTTAGTTTTCTGTGGATAAGGTCAAATAACGAATTATTTATGATTATTACATTTATTCCAGAGGGAATATATGAAAATACATGTCACGAACAAGTTGTTCTTCCAAGATATCCACACCAATACTATCTCAAATTGTTGCTATTGTTCAAAAATAAAAGAGCATCAATTAAGACCATTCGCATTATATTTTAGGTGTCGAAGGGTTATCTCATTAGGTACTAAGAACATTTTAAATAGGAAATAACACAGGTTTAAAAGTAAACTTCAGGATTAAACAACATGTTCCAAGAAGCTAACTATACCTACCATACCCTTAGAACTACTTAATTCCATTTTGTAACCTTCTGATTTTAATCCAAGAGATGGCCAAAATGGATTTGCATCCATAACATATTCAGAAATTACTAGAATATACTTACTTTTGAAGTGACCTAGAAATGGGAACCATACTTTCCTTCCATTGTAATTTAGAGAAATCATCTTCTGAAACCTATTATTAAAAACACCAAATACAACAAAATACTGAAAATATTGTACAATTATAAACTTAAATGCTATTTAATATGTGATTTAAAAGAACAGTAAGAAATATTGTCTACTTTTCCAAAGAAATAATTCTAGCAAATAATTTTCAGTAAAACGTTAAATATTTTTCACTTTATAGTATAAAGAGAAAATACTGTAACTATTACTTAGATTCATCTTTCAATTGCCTAAAGTGTGCTTCTAAATGTATGTCCAATAAAAATCATATCTTGGCTTGAAATTATGACTTTAATAAACTGGGTTATGTCTCAATAATGTTTAGAAGGGGAAGGAAAAGAAAGATGGATTACATTCTGTATGTTAATGTTATGATCATTAGAATGGAAAGAGAAAAATTAAGAACTCCAAAGAACAGGCTGTGATAGTTCGTTCCCAAGAGTTAATCTACTCATTTGTAATGAAAACTGAATTTGAGAAAGCTTGACTAAATATCAACATCAAAACAAACAATGACAATAAGAACATTTATTAAGTATTTTAAAGTATTATTATCTTTAAATAATTTAAGTATTATTATTTAAGTTTTTAAAAGTTTTTATTATTAGGGCATTTTATTAATAAGGTATTTATTAAGCTTTTATCAGGTTCCAAGCACTGTAATAAGTACTTTATATAATGTCTCAATTTCTCAACAACCTATTTTACAGAAGTAAAAACTGAAACTAAAGAGGTTATTCTCTCAAGTTATGAATAAGAATATATTCATAAACTCTGTTCTACTGTGAAAAAACATTCAACCACTATAGAATAGTAGCCAAAAACAGAAACAGATTTCCGAATTCCTAGGAAACACACAAAAATTCAATGGTTTTAAAACAAAACTTTATGTAACTGTATTCCAAAGTCAATAAACACTTAGTACCAATATTAAATTTCAAATGACAAAGGTCTGTGGAGAAGTCTAATGTTGAAAGGTTTTCACCCTGGCCAGTGTGGTTCAGGTTTTGGATTCAACTCCCGGTTAGGACACATGTCTGGGTTGCAGGTTCATCCCCAACCCGGTCGGAGCACATGCAGGAGGCAACCAATCAATGTTTTTCTCTCACATCGATGTTTCTCTCTCGCTCACTCTCTCCGCTCTCTTTCTCTCTCCTTCTCCCTCTCTCTAAAAATCAATGAAACAAAAGGTTTTCCAGATCTCCCCAATTTATAAACACAAGTTGGAATATATAGAACAATTTTGTAGGGAATTAAAACAACTCTTATAGTCTGTTCATACTATAGTTGTGGTATCATTGATAGTGTATTTATAACCATAAACTAAGTAAAACAATCCATTCATGGAAATACAACTGCAGAAATCTAATAGTATTCAATGTGAATAAGTTACTTTCTGAAAAAAAGAATAATACAACTCTACAACATGTGCTTTGTGGCATGTTTATTAACATAAAACTAGAGGTCAAACTAAAGAGAATCTGGAAAGAAATCTTATCTCTTCAAAGATCCCAATTCATAAATCAAGTTTGTGCTTACTTGCTTAATTTCTTCTTTTGGCTCTGTAGTTTTATTCTGATTAAAACTTTCTTGTACGGCTTGAAGATTAAATAACATTTGTTTCAGGGCTTCAACAGGACCATGATGTTTCCCTCCAGACAGGGTACAGCTCTAAGGTTAAAACAATGATCAATTAACCATCCGAATTTGGGGGCAAAAAGTTATATTTTGTGTCATTCTCCCCTGATACAAACTTAATACAAAAATCCAAATACATATCAACAAAGTGTTTTTACAAATTGTGCATAATTTATGACCTCCCCTTACCCAGTTCCCAGATCAAGTTACATAGTGACAATCATTATCATCAGTTTGGCATATCCTTTCCAGTCTTTGCTCTTTGAAAATGAATAGTACTTATTTATGTTTGCAATGCATTTAGTACATTTAAAATCATAGATTTTTAGAACTAAAACGGCTTAGACAGCAGGTAAACCAACCTACTCTTTTCAGGTGTGTAAATGGAGCTGGTTATCAGGTGAGCAAGAACTAGAATTTTAAATACAGTATTCTCTAGATACTTTTAAATATGTTTAACACATAGAATACTGGTTTTCCACCTCTTCATGGGTCACATATTCCTTGCTACCTAAAAAACATTCATAACTCAATTAGCATTGATCTTACCTGCATCCCAAGGATGCAACCGCACTTAGCCACATAAGGTGGTCAGGATTCTTTTAAGAGAATCTGTAAGGGATATTTTTGAACTTCTTTTAAAAAATCTTACCAACCTATTACTATTATTATTTTTTAATTGATTTGAGAGAGAGAGGAAGGGAGAGGGAGAGATAGAAACATCAATGAGAGAGAGACATCACATCGATCAGCTGCCTCCTGCACAACCCCTATTGGGGATTGAGCCCGCAACCTGGGCATGTGCCCTGAACGAGAATAGAACTGGGGACTCCTTGGTTCATGGGTCAACACTCAACCACTGAGCCACGCCAGCCAGGCCCAACCTATTATTTTTACATTATTCACATGAGTTGCTGTCTCCTGAAAACTATCCACAAAGTGGCAAATAGGCCTCTTAAGATGTCTTTGATGTAACTGATTTCAACATAGTATAATACATGTATAATACATAGTATAATACATAGTACAACTTCAAGTTAGAGGAAACTGCAGACTAGCATAAGAATATTAGAAACGGTCTCTCATTGGTGAAGAGATTCAAAATTAAGCATAACGGCTAAACACCACTTTCCAATAAAAAGAACGACGGTTCAAACAAAAATGGGGACCTGTCAAAAAGATACAGGAGCCAACCTGAAGAATTCCTTATGGCCTAAACTGGAACAATTTGAGCAGCAAAATAAATAAAAATATTGTATTATAAACCTAGAATAAAATAAATATCTATGAGTTCCTGATATAATAAACAAATAAATGGGGGAGAAGGAATATCCCTTCATTACACAAGAATTTCAATAAATAACGTCGAAGAACAGACAAGATCCCCCATGGGTAATAAAATTTGTGGATGGTTCTAGCTGGGTTTTCTCAGTGGTCAGAGCATCAGCCTAGGGACTGAAGGGTCCCAGGTTCGATTCCAGCCAAGGGCATGTACCTCGGTTGCAGGCTCGATCCTTGGTCCCAGCTGGAGCTTGTGCGGGAGGCAACCAATTGATGTGTCTCTCTCATATTGATGTTTCTTTCTCTCTTTCTCTCTTTCTTTCTCTCCCTCTCCCCCGCTTCCCGTCCTCCCTCCCTACCATTCTCTCTGAAAAGCAATGGAAAAAATATCCTCGGATGAGAATTAAAAAAAAAAAAATTAGTAGATGAAAGTTTGTGACTGCTTACATAGTCTCAAAGTATCTCCCCTAAGATATTTACTCATTACAAGGAGAACCGTAATTTTACTAAAGAGTAAGCCAGTAGAGACACCAAGTGTTCAAAATTAACAGTACAAATTTTAATGTATTTCCATAACTTTGTATATTATTGTATTAACATATTATTATGAACTGAATGTCTGTCTCCCCCTAGAAGTCATACGTTAAAGCCTAGTCCCAATGTGATAGTATCTGGAGGAGGGGCATGTGTGGAGCCCACATAAATGGAATTTGTGTCCTTATAAGAGACACAGGAGAGCTTGCTTTTCCTCTCTTCTCTCTGCCCTGTGAAGACCTGGAGAAGATGGCCACCTGCAAACTAAGAATCAGGACCTCATCAGACACTTTAATCTTAGACTTCATAGCCTCCAGAACTGTGAGAAATAAATGTTTGCTATTTAAGCCACCCAGTCTGTGGCATATTACAGCAGTGCAGACTAAGACACCTATCTATATATCAATGGTATCAATATATCATGAGCCCTCTGATATAATGCACTGAAAAGGACACACAGTGTGGTATCTGTTGCATTCTTGCCAAAAATACACAACCACATTCTAATCATGAGAAAACTTTATATTATTTTTTTAAATATATCTTTATTGATTTCAGAGAGAGGAAAGGAGAGGGAGAGAGAGAGACAGAAACATCAATGATGAGAGAGTCACTGATGGAGCCCACAACCCAGGCATGTGCCCTAACCGGAAATCGAACCCCAATCGCCTGGATCCCAGGTCGACACTCAACCGCTGAGCCACGCCCGGCCGGGCGAGAAAACTTTAGAATAACCCAAACTGAGGAATTATCTACAAAATAGCCAACTGACCCAGTATACTTTTCAAGTGTCAAGATCATGACAGACAAGGAAAAACTGAGAAATTGGAACAAACTGAAGTAGATTAAGGAGACATGACCAATAAATGCAACACTGAATCCTGGCTTTGGGTCCTGAAACAAGACATTGGTAGAAAAACTGGCAAAATTAGAATAAGGTCTGTAGTTCAAGTAACAGTACTGTACTTATATTATTTCCCTGTTTCTGATCTTTATACTATGGTGAGATGTTAACATTAGGTAAGCTGGAAGAAGTATGACAGGAACTATATGTATTATTTTTGCAACTTTCTGCACATATAAAATTATTAAAAACAAACAAACAAAACCACCCTGGTAATGAGGTATGGTCAGGAGAAAAAGGACCAGTTGGTTAGTATTTAACACTCATCCACCTCAAACTTAAAAATACTTCTGCAGAGTGGCTCAGTGGTTGAGCGTCGACCTAGAATCCAGGCGATCAGGGTTCAATTCCCGGTCAGGGCACATGCCCGGGCTGTGGGCTCGATCAATGACTCTTTCATCATTGATGTTTCTATCTCTCTCTCTCCCTCTCCTTTCCTCTCTCTGAAATCAATAAAAATACATTGGAAAAAAAAAAAAAATACTTCTGCAAATGTGTTCCTCTACCAGTGCTCCTTATCTAAGTAAATGACACCATTCAAACCTTTAATTGCTTGGCTCAAACATGTTGGATTCATTGTTTAAATGCTCACTATATCCATCCTATCAGATCTACCTTCAAAGTACATCCCAAGTCTAACCACTTCCAACCACCTCCCATGTACCCGCCCTATTCAAGCCTCTATAATCCCATCCTGAAAGACTGGAAAAACCTCCAAACATTTCTGCTCCTCCTCCAGCTCCTCTTACGTCTATGCTCATACAGCTGCCGTTTCATATTTTAAAATGTAGACCTGACAACTTCATTCCTCCACTCAAAACTCTCCAGTGACTTCTCACTCAAATAAAATGTAAAATTTTCATTCCACAGCTCAAAAGTCCCTACATGATCTGGCCCCACCTTACTTCTCCATGTTACCTTTTAGCATCTTTTCCTTGTTCCTGCTGATGAAGCTACAATGACTGGACTCTGACATTCCTTGAATATGCCACACACATTTGTGTAAACAGTCATTTCTGCAAGGGTATCTGACTGATTCACTCATTTTAGGTTTTCGCTCAAACATCACCTCATTAGAGAGGCCATTCCTGACTACCCAATTTAAAGTTGTACCCTCATTTCTCTTTTCCAATTAACTTTTCTTCATAACTCATACAATACTCCCTTATACAGTACACATTGTCCTTTTCTTTAGTTCGTCTCTCCAGCTAGAATAAAAAAGCCAAGAGGTGAGGGTTTCCCCTCTTATTCACTGCTAGGAATACAGTTCCTAAAAAAGTGCTTGGTGCCCAGCCGGGCGTGGCTCAGCGGTTGAGCGTCGACCTAGGATCCAGGCGATCGGGGTTCGATTCCTGGTCAGGGCACATGCCCAGGTTGTGGGCTCGATCAATGGCTCTCTCACCATTGATGTTTCTATCTCTCTTTCTCCCTCTCCTTTCCTCTCTCTGAAATCAATAAAGATATATTTAAAAAAAAAAAAAAAAAGTGCTTGGTGCTCAAACATTTGTCAAATAAATATTTGATAATTAAGCTTCACTTACTCAGCACCTGCTATAGTGTCTTATATAGAGCTTTGAGGTGAGACATATTCTGACAGCCTCTACTTTCTATAGTAAATTTCACTGGAGAAAAAAAACACATTTTATTAAAATTTTAAGCTAATTTTTTAGTGTTCAGCCTCTCAAATCTTCCAGGTGTTAAGACCCCAAAAGCATTATTTCAGTACTTAACACCATGGCTTACTTATATTTCTAAGTCAAAATGTGTATCATTTCTTATGTGCACATATATACATTTATACTTTATTTGGGGGCTTACGTGCAAGATGCACATATGCTGAGTTAGTAAAATTGGATAATAACTTTCCTATCTTAAAAATTATAGATTTATAATTGTATTTTAGAAACACAACTCTCAATAATCAGCTGCCCTATAGGAAAATATAATTTACTCTATAATGGTTCGTTTTATGTTTTCCAGAAAAAACAAGAAAAACAAAACACTGTAATGACAATTTAGGTTCTCTGTAAGAGTTCAATCCCAGGTCCCTCTACTTTAGAATACTAAAGTAAAATTATCAATAATTCTAGAAGTGATGGTTTAATGGATGAGTGTTAGGGAAGAGGGGATATGGGTCATTTTTTGTTTTATAATACCTAAATAACTTAGAAATTCATATCTATATATTAATCTTTTAATAAGTTAAAAAGATTTACTTCACCTACCTGATTATCATCATTTAAGAAGTCTTCAAGGAATCCTTTAGCACACTTTGCTCTTGAAGCTTGTTGAGGACTGTCATCAGAGTTAACAGGAACAGGAGATTTGCTAAATAGGATTTAAGATACAAGTTAGCAATTAAGTTCCCAATTTATAAAAATTAGACAGTATATAACTGAATGGTTATCGTTTAAATACAAATGGTCACAAAGAAATAACCATTACAGATATGATTCATATTGATGTTGCTTGGTAATTCTCTCATCATCTTCCTGAACTGACACCAGAATCTAACCCTCCCCATCTCCTTGCTTCTCCTTTAAAGCTTCAAGAAAAAAACTTAAAAAAAATTGAAGACATTAGTCTTCAACTAAACAAATAAGCCTTCAACTATAGGCTATGCTCTCAAAGCTCACTTGTTTGAAATAAGCAGTGCATTTTTCAATTAAACACTGTTAGGCGGGCCGGGCATGGCTCAGCAGTTGAGTGTCAACCTAGGATCCAGGCGATCGGGGTTCGATTCCTGGTCAGGACACATGCCCAGATTGCAGGCTAGGCAGCCAATCAATGACTCTCTCATCATTGATGTTTCTATCTCTCTCCCTCTCCTTTCCTCTCTCTGAATTCAATAAAGATATATTTTTAAAAAAACAAAACACACTGTTAGTTACCCAAAACTCCCACAAATTTATAAGATTTTCTACTGGGACGGCAGTTATACACTCTGCCATGTCAAAGCAATAGGACAGACATCCCAATACAGAACTGGCATTAACAGAAGACAGATTAGAGTGGAAAAATAACCAATTTTGAAATTTTAATTACTGAGTTCAAATCCCAATCCCACTAACTATATGACCCTACATAACTTACTTATCTGAACTTCAATTTCTACATTTGTAGTCCCACTTATCTCACAGAAGTATTGCATAAATTAACTCCATGTACCTGGTACATTTAATAGATACTCAATAATTTTTTTTCTTGATATAAGGAGTAACAGAAAAAGGGGCATCCCCAGCAAAAGAAAGAATTTTCCCAAAGCCAAATTCTATTAGTCACAGAAAATAAACTCATTCTATCTTTCTTTCATTTATATATCAATATGAGGTGAGTTTCTAACTCAAGTACTCAGATATCTAAGTGTCTTTTTATAACATGTAAATGTCACAATTTTTCTTAATTAGCAACATTTCATTATTGCCTCATTTGATTTGTAATTCACTCGGAGTTTTTTATCGCTCTCAAGTAGTCTTTTCTCCCATTCTTTATCAAAAAGAGTTTGTACATCCACCCACCATTATCATAAGCATGTTCCGGGATTACTGAAAATGGGTGCTGGGTACATAAGGATTCATTATACTACTCTTGTACTTTGTATTTGTTTGAAATTTTCCATTATAAAACTTAAGCAAAAAAAGCAATTATTTGGTTGTAGTTGTACTCGATCTTTTAGTATATTACTTTGAATACGTCCAGGTCAATTTTTGTTTTTATGACAGATTGATAATAATTTGTCAATGTCATACTGAGGCCAGGTCTATTCCTTCTTCTCACAATCCATCACTAATTTTATATACAAACATACCCATCACTATATGAATCTAATCTTCTAAACATCAACTACTGTATGCAAGGGCCAAACCACTGATAATATCAATTATACTAGTCAGAAGTTATATTATCTAATTACAAAATACAATAAAATTTTTACTCTTAAACATCTCTGATTTTATTTGCTCACTCACTTGGATTCCAACTGAAAGCAAAGTATCGCGCTATGGTATTTTACAAATACACAGAACAACTGATAAAGAGAAATTAAGAAATAAGAAAGATAAATTTAAATATTAAATGAGGTAATTATTAACCCATTTTTAAAAAAGATATTCTTGAACCAACAATTGAGAAATAAAGCTAAACAAAGAAAGAAATGTATTCTGATCACCACCACAATTACAATTTACAAGATCATCATGTCCTGACTTAAGTACTTTGCATTTACTTTCTAATCAACTGGAATCTTCACAAAAACATCATAGAAGAACTTGTACAAGACCTTATACAAAGTAGAGTTATACAAAATAGACATAACTTATACAAGATCTCAGTGAAGAAATGACAGAGCTGGGATTCCAAACCAGAATCATAGTCAGTGTGCATATTTAAAATAAATTTTAAAAAATTAAAAAGACATTCAACTGAGAATAATCAAGAAAAGGATCCAGAAATTAACAAACTCCATCTATGAGAAACTAAAAGTTTAGACAACTGAGTATAATAAATATCAAAACCTAAGGAAGGATATAGTTACCAAGAATGCATTTCTGGTAAGTCTAAATATATTATCACTAAGAAAAAGCTTTCCAATCTAAGCTCCTAATCCTTACTCTAAGCTCACATTCACAGTTATCTAGGTGAACACTTTTTAAATTATTCTGAGAAACTATGTCATTGAAAGGTTATATACAAAAATGAAAATAATCTTAGAAATTGTAAAAATTTATACAATAGACAATCTAAAAAAAAAATGGACCATCATTTAAGGAAAATAATGAACAAAAGAGAGAGTAAAATGTAAATGAAAAGAAATGGATAACTTGAATATATGAAGAAAATATAGAGGGAGAAAAAAAACTCAGAGTAGAAAGTAACAAGAATTTCATAGCCCTCCTCCTTCTACAAAGTAGTTGCTTTTGGTTCTAATTCCTCATAATAAACATATATCAATATTTTATAGTGCAACAAAAGGAACATATAACAAAGACAAAAGTTACATAATGTACCTAAGTTATGAAACATTACACCATCTTGTGGTAACAAATGAAAAATGCAATATAAAGCAAAGCAACACTGAACACTATGTTCTACAAAATTACCAAGTTATTACCATTACTAATTATCATTAAGTTATTTTAAAAATAAATTAGATGTTCACATATTTTTCATTTATAAAACTAATGACCTTATATGCTTTTTCCATTACAATGTACTTACAAAGTAACAGGAACATTTTCCCATGATCTTTCTGCTTCAAGTTTATCTAATGAACAGGGACTGTCATCCTGCTTCACAGACTTCTGTAATTCTTCAGTACAATGCTCTAGATTTTTCTTGGCCTTCAGGATAAGCAATTCAATTTTGTCACCTATTTTAAAAGACTACATTAATTCAGAAAAAAAAATAAATGCAAAGCATGACAAAAATCTCACAAAAGCAACAATTCTGATAACTTGGAATATATATAGGGTGTCCCAAAAAAATGTACATACACACTTTGAATAATTACAAAGGCAGCGTTTATTAAAATACATTTCATTTTCAAAATTGAGCTATCAGCTGTTAAAGTGTGCATACATTTTTTGGGACACCCTGTAAATATCTATAAAGCAAATTATGTCAAAATGTGACATTTTAAACAAATAAAATGGAGAAAAGACATTTTCTAGTTACAAAATGCAACTTAAATGAAAACCATTAAGTTCATAAAAGACACAAGAATGTAACATAAAGCTCCTAGATATTAGGTCAAATTTACAGCATTTTCTTTGGTTCTTAAAATCAAACAAAAAACAATTACCATTGAATGGCTTTTTGGATTGTCCTGGGAGAAGTGGATTCTCACATTGACATTGGCTATGTTCAGAATCACATTTATATTCATTAACTAATCCTTTATCACCACTCAAGAAATCTGAAATGTTTGAGGGGTCAAAAGAATATTCAAAACAATCTAATTTATTCATAAGTCGAGAAGTTCTTTGTGCCTGATAACTATGTCTTGGGGACCACTGCTCTTCTTTAAAAAATTTAGAAATTCTTTGACTATTTGTGTCAGGTAGCAAGTCTTGATTGTGGAGCCAGACTGGGTATTTGAAATCAGGTATACTAGTTATCCCTGAAACATTAAGGTCAGATTTCTGGCCAGTGAGCCATCTTGGGTAATTCTTTTCAAGATTGTGTTCTGAACTGTTCTTGAAAGAAGATTTCTTAAAAAAAGATGGTTCAGAAATACATTTATTGGTCTTATTCACAAGTTTTAGGTTTTTTAGCCTTTGACACTGCTTTCCATTTATATCTGTGTATACAACAGGAGTAACTAAGTTATCCTTGCTCATGGCAGACAAGGGTTCTTGAAAATTTTGATTGTTTTCATTGCCCAATGAACTCAGTCTTCCAATGCATTTCTTGGTTTTCTTGCTAATTCGGTGTCTTGGTCCAACACAAGTAAAAGAAAACGATCCATCTGCTGGAAGTTTTAATAGATCATCAGTTGTTAGGCTAACAGAATCTATGTCATTAATAGTCCGTCTTCTAGAAGATAAGGACAAGGAGCTTTTTTTGTGATCAAAATTTTCAAAGCCTGAAAAACAAAGCATAGTTCTGTTTATCTTCCTATATCAAATATAAAAATACTTCAAACTACTCAAAATATTCAACAGTAAATGAGAATTAAGAATTTAAGAACCATTTTTGCCACTTTCCCATTATCTTCACTAAAGTTTTGATTAAAAGTATAAAAGGTTGATGAAACAGATGTGCTTTTTTCCCTCACATCTCAATTTGTTGTAGCTAATTTCTACCCTTTTTTCTACAACCTCCTGAATTTTCCCATGTTCTTTGATTTACTGTTTCTGCAACTTTTTTCACCTAGACATACCTAATGCACTAATGCACTCCCATTAATATTGCTCACTACATACTGGCTGCAACACAGGGGAAAAAATAGGTGATTAAGTTACGTGGAAAAAAATTTGCTTTCTTGACTACTAACTCTGCAATAGCATTAACGCACAGCGAACAGCTGTTCTAATTCTCCTCGTCTGGAATACTGCCCACATCCTTCTAAGAGTTGAATGCAAACTTTTTCCACACTAGGACTAATCCGTAAGTGCTCAATAACTGGGTTATCAACAAATTCATGTTCCACACCTGTCTTCATAAAAGCCTTACCAAGGGAAAAACTCTTAATGTATTGTGAATATTATTGTCCCATAGAATACAGATTAGGAAGACTAATAGAATCCTATGCCATCACTTGGAACTGATGAAGTATCAACTAAGAAAGGCTGAGATTCATTTAAAGTCATTAAGCTAGTAAATGAAAGCTAGAACCACCAAGTCAATGCTTTCTCCATTATGCCATAATAAAATGACTTAAGAATTTAGGATCAGCCACCTGCTATAATTCATCAGATTCCACTCCAATGTCACAAGGGGATCTTAGCTGAAAATTCCTGAGAACCAGATAATTACAGAACCTTTTAAGAAATATATCCAGATCTCAACATTAAAAAGTAATTTTTACCCCCAAAACCAAAAAAAAGCACCTAGTTTTCAAAGGCTACAAGGCATCTCTCAAATGCTTTAAATCAGTGGACAAAAAGAAAACAGAATACAAGCATACCATTGTGTGGTTTATAAATATAGTTGAATTCTGGCATATTAGCAGGACGTTTATCAATGTTAATCTTTCCAGTGCTTACACCAGGATACATCCGGCTTAGATCAAAATCATCAATATAGGCCTGTAGAGCCTGAGATGCAGAACGGTACAGTTTATCCTTATACTGAACCGAGCCATCAGGGTTAGAGGAATTACTACCACTCAGGCTACAGCTTGCTAACAGAGAAGAGACTGATGATTCCCGAGAACAAGCTCTGAGTTTTGTATTTGGTTTTGCCATGCCTTTCTCACAATGGGTTATTTCTGTTCATTTCTCTTAGAAATCACTGCAATAAAAAACAAAAAGTTAAGGTTCCAAGTAAAACAAATAATAGGCATACGCAGAGAAATTACTAAATATATAAACTTTTTATAATTTTCTTTAAAGAATAAAATCCACCATCTGTAAGTCCTTTTTAGGCTATACACATTATAGATTTTCTATTATTTTAATTATTGTGAATTCCTTCATCATTTATTTAGAAAACATTTATTGAGTACCTACTATGTGCCTAGAATTATGTATACAAAAATTATGAGAGAACATGCATGGAAAGTACCAAGGAAAAAGTACTCACTTTTTTAAAAAAGTCCTAAAAACTACAGATGTAGATACAGTCTTTTCTTACGGTGATATATTCTATGACATCACAATACCTGACATTCCCCTCCCTATACATAGTATTTTTCAATTCATAAGCCTACCACCATGCACTGCAGATAGGTCCTCAATAATTTTTTAAATACATCAAATGAGGCATTAGAAACAAGAAGGAACAGTGGAGAAGAATGCTATAAATGCCAATATGTAAGTGTAAACAACCCTTCACGCCAAAAAACTTGAGAGACTAAAATATAAAGAAATGAACAAGTCATACCATAAAATGAATGTGCAAAATGCTTTTTTCCTAAAACAACACTGTTAATATTTCCTGACCTTCATTTTTGATACTACCCTCACTATATTCAAGTCGTATATTAAACACAGAATAATCAGGCCATTTAAAGGAGACTTAAATAATTAGAAGACTGACAATATATTCATCTTACTGTTTGTGCATCATTAAAATCAGCAGAATTCCTGTCCACCCTAGTATAGGAATAACAGGATCTATATTTGAAATTCTAAGAAATAACAGAATAAACAGGCACTACTTCAGTACATGATATGACAGTATTTTAAAATTAAACAAATGGATTTTCTGTACTGAAAAATAAAATATTAATGTCTAGATCTTAATACATGCTATGATATTATAAAGTTCCTATGTTTAAACTTTTGGCTACATTTTGGGAATGTTTAAGTTATAACAACTTTCAATATAATCTTAACCGTCAAATTTTACTTTAAAATACTGAAAAGTTTTCCACTCAAGAAAGTAAAGACAGTAAAACGTCATCCTGCTTCTCAGCCTTAAAGTATGCAACTGCCTTTAGAAAAGGGCTGACAGCAGTGAGTAGAAGCAGCAGAACATCAGAGGTTTGGCCTCTTTGACTTTCCTGAATGCTGTAACATTGGTGTAACACTACTAGACAATTATTCACGGTAGCCAAGGCATGGAAACAACCTAAGTGTCCTTCAGTGGATGACCGGATAAAGAAGATGCGGTACATTTACACAATGGGGAATACTACTCAGCCACAAAAAAGGATGAGATACTGACGTCTGCAACAGCACGGATGGATCTCCAGAGTATCATGCTAAAGGAAATGAGTCAGACAGAAAAGGACAAGAGCCATATGATTTCACTCATGTGAACTATAAAGCACAAAACAAACAAACAAAACAAACTCACAGACACACAACAGTATGGTGGTTACCCCAAGAGGAAGTGGGAGGGAGGGTAGTAAAGGGTAAAGGGGGTCAAATACATGGTGATAGAAAGAGGCTAGGCTCTAGGTGAGAGCACACAATGCAATATACAGATAATGTATTATAGAATCCTACACCTGAAACTTGTTATGAACCAATGTCACCCTAATAAATACAACTGTGTGTGTGTCTGTGTGTGTGTCCGTGAATGGCTACGCAAAGTCAGCTTGTCCTTTCTCTACCCTACTCACTAGTGGATGTTTAAATTTTTTCAAATGAATACTGTTTGAATATTAAGCTTGACCAAACGTTTTCTCCCTCATTCAAACACAGTATAGGTTACCGGTTTTAATTTTACAAAACCTCAAAAACAAAAACAAAACCCTCAAAGGCACAGTTGATGGATTATAGTTCTCAGTAAGTGGGTAGTAACATTCCTCCTAATTCACAGGAGGCAAAAAATAAAATTTAAAAAATCCACAATTGAACTTCCATTGTGGAAAGTTTCCAGAAGTATACAAAAGTAGAAAAAAAGTTTAATAAACTCCTATGCAGCCATCGCCCTGCTTCAAACAATTACCAGCATACCCCAACTTTTTATCTACCCACTTCTCCCACAGGATTATTTGGAAGCCAATCCCAAATGTCTTACCATTTCTTCCGTAAACACCCGTTCGTATCTGCAGTAGGAAATCCATCGTTCCCAACAGAATGTTAGACGGATGGCAAGAAATTTCAACTACCTTTAATTCAAAAACACAACGTTCCGTGTTCAGTAAGCAATGGGAATAGCTCACAATAAATTCACAACTCTTAGAAACAACAGCTCTGTGATTTATGTGATGAACCCGAACATCTGTCTACAGCCTGCTGGACAAAGAATTGACAAGGCGGGAGAGCTGGGGCTGCTGGCGCCCGGCCCCGCCAGAGCATCCCGTCCCCTCCGCGGCGCTGGGTTCACTCCGACCTCCCGCTTCCAGGAAACGCCCTCCCCGCGGGATCCCAGCAAATCACAGACACAGGTTCTCAGAAACCACCCTTCAGGCTACGACAGTTAGCGTCCCGGGGAGCGGATGGAGATCCTCGGGGGAACGGCCCAAAAGCCCAAGCCCCCACCCCCCACCCCCGCTTCAATGGACGCCTCTAGTCTCCTGAGGCCCACGTCAGGTCCCCTCCGTCCAGTCCCGCGACCCTCCCCCTAAAGCGGTTCTCTTTCCCCAGGGACTCTCCCGCTAGAGACGTCTTCCCTTCCCCTCCCCTCCCCGCCACCTTTCCGTTAGCCTTTCCCTCAGGCTGTCAAGGGATGGGACGCCCCTCGAGAAAACGGCCCCTTCTAGGGCCGAACCGGCCGACGAAGGTCCAAAAACAAAGAAAACGCACACTCCCACATCTCCCCGCCGAAAACCCTGGCCTGTCACCCGGCGGGAGACGCAACAAAGCACCCCCGACCCTGGCACCGCCGAGCCTCAGACTCCGCTCACTCGGAGCCTCCTCCGCCCTCGCAGCGGAACGCGACACCCGCGCCGGCTTTCAAACTGACCCAACATGGCTCCGGCTTGCGGTGCGCAAGCGTGGTGCTCGGGCGCCCGGGGCGAGCTGGGCGAGGGGCGGGGGCGCCGGAGGGGAAGAGGGGCCGCGGGGCGTTTGGTCGCACTGCCTGCTGGGAAGTGTAGTTTTTCCTTCCTTATCTGCCTGGGGTGGGAGTTCTGGACTACGTACGTCCACGTCGCTGCCGCGCATGCCCTCCCCACCGTCACCGCTCTTCGCGGACCGTCTGCGCGGAGGACCCGCTGAGCCTCGGTTTGCGGGCTCCTGGGGCTGAGTGAGGGGACTCGGTAGGGGAGATTTGGGGCGCTTGCGGCTGATGTTTCGATCTCTGAGAGCCAGCTGCACCTCCCCAGTTCTTCCAAGTGAGCTCGGTCTCCCCGCTTTCAGAGCACCCCTTCCCAGGATAAGGTGCCCCCTGGGCCGGGGGCAGCGCCCCTCCCTCCCTGCCTCGGGCCTTCCCGGGTGGATCCGAGCCGGGCCCTCCTCGGCTTCCAGCCCGCCCCTCATGCTCAGAGCAGGTGCGGGACTGGAGGAGGGAGTTTGGCCGGGAAGGGGATTCGGCACATTCCTCGGGGACCTTGATTCCCAGGAAGAATGGCAGTGACCCCGCACGGCTTGGGGACCCGGTCAGGCAGCCCGGAAAGAGGGAGATAATACCAAGAGATGTAAAGACCCGCCTCGCGACAAGTGCGAACCTGTCTACAAGGCTGGCTCAGGAGACAGGTGCGAAGAGTCCGGTTTCCACCAAGTGGTGTCTCAGAAGAAGACGCCATCTTAGTTTTGGTTTAGGTTCCTTGCCCACCGACCCTGTCGGCGAAGATGCCCTCGGTTACTTCGCCCCAGTATAGTCCAGCTCAGCCGGTGTTAACGTCACCAGCGATACAGCCGTAGCCTCCATGTTTGCTCCTTCCCGTTTTCAGTCCCTCTAGCCCGCTGAGCTTAATCTTTTCTCTTAGCAAATGAAAAAAAAAATCCAGAAACTATAAAATTTAGTATGTTTATTGTGGTAGTTAAGCGCTAGGCGACTTGGCGGGGAGTGAGACGAAGCGTATGCGGGAGGTCACGCTCCCCGGCGCATCCCGACAGCCTGTGCGACTCCTGGGTCGGTCCGCGTCGGGCACGTGGCCGGGAGGGAGCGAAGGGCTGTCACATAGGCTGGCACAGGCCAGGGCAGGGCCCAGCCCAGGACTGCCAAGGGCATGGCCTTAAAATCCACATTTTAAAATCCACATTCCATCTAAATATCTTTTTAACCTGCCCTCCTTTAACAGTTTTTTTTCGTAATATCTTTAACGTTTCTCTTACTACCTTTTCCTTCCACCTTGGCGCATATATAACGTGCAGATGTTTCCTGATGACATAAAGTGTAAGTAAAGGACGCTGAGAAAATATAAAGGAGCTTGCCCAATAAGTTGATGGAATGCATGGCTCCAAATAATTCTACTTCCACTTTGTTCCTTCACCGTTTAAGAGGTATGGAGATCTCCAGGAGGATTTGGAGAACAGTCTCAATAGTTATTAGAATTCTGGACTAGATCTATTAGGAAAGAATCTAGTAAGAAAAAAGGAGTTATGGCTCATGAAAGCTTTTCAAATAGAGATGTCAACTAGGTGGCATGCCTTGCGGGAGAACTGAACAAGAGAAAATTGATTTATGTTCCAACGTGAAGAGCGTTAGGTGAGAGCTAAGGAAGACACGTTCTGATCGTTAAACTTTAAGAAGGTTTATTGAGGCAACTCTTTGGAGAATTTTTAAAGAGAGAGCTTTAATATGTCCAATTAAAGAACAGAACTAACCTTTTTGATCACCAAGAAGGGGCCCCACACTGTTTCAGTCACTTTTGCATATATTAACTCAATCCTTACAATAACCCCATGAGATCGGTATTATTATTCCTAATCTATAGACTTGAAAATTGAACTTCAAAAGTTAAGCGATTCATCCAAAATAATATAACTGGTGTGAGTGGCAAAGGCAGGATTTGAATCCAGCTCTGTGTTGTCATGCTCTTTCCACCATACCAGCCAGCTTCTCCTAGCTGAAAGCTAGATGATGGGCCAAAGGACCAATGAGACTCCAGCTTCCTGAACTCATTCACAGCAGAAACAATATCTTACTCAACTGTGTTTGGTATACCTACCATGGTACCTAACCCCTGCTGACTTGATTCACACTTGATTATTCTGTCCAAAGATGTGACGTTTAAACAAAGACACCAATGAAGAGGAGTCATTCATTCATATTGAGGAAGAATGTTACACACAGAGGGAACAGCAAGAACAAAGACCGTGAGGTAGGAAGATGCTTGGTTGTATCTGAGGAACAGCCTGGAGGTCAATATGATTGCAGCTAAGTGAAGAGAGTTGAAGACAGGAGTTGCCTTTGGAGAGGAAGCCAAAGGTCAGATCATTTAGTGCCACTCTACTCACTTTAAAAAGAGTAATTCCCAAGAACACCTGATCAACAGGTTATGGTGCTTTACAGGAGAAAGAAAGCATGATTGAGCTTTTAGAAATAATAATGAATTATTGAATAGCTATTAAGTGCCAAGCAATGGGGTAGGACACTAAAGTGCATTGTTTCATTTAATCCTTACATTAATTCTACGGGGTTAGGTACTACCCCAGTTTTAAAACTTGAGAAAATGGGGAAACAAATGCTAAATAATGTGGTTCACAATTAGTCAATAGCAGAGGCAAGATTTGACCTAGGTCTCGGACTTCAAAGCCTGGTCTTGGTACCATATACCACACCCACTCTTTCTCATTGTGAATAAGGAGGCAGGAATCTGTGCATGCAGCCATTCAACGAGTAATTATTGTCCATTACTGTTCTTGCTATGTGACAGTCACTGTAGAAATAGTATTAAAATGTAATACAGCATTTTAAAACTTTTTACGTGAGCACATTCTTACCAATCATTTGTTTTTAAAACTTTGCAGGTAGATGGACTATAAGGGAATTGCCCAACAAGCTGCTCAAGATATTTTAGGTTACAATCAAGATACATCAGGCTGGAAAGTGGTTAAATCTTCAGTAAGAAAATGAATTAAATATGTTTCGAATTTGTTTTTAAATGAAAAACGATTGATAGTAAAGACATTTTTTAAATATTTTTTACGAACAAAAAAATGTACTTTTGCTTTGTTTTACTTTGTTTTTTGTTTTTCATTTTTTTCTTTACTTGACAGCTAACTTATTTGTGGATTTTTATTCCCCTTTGAGAAAAAAATAACTGTTTATAGCAAGCCTTCTAAAAAATTTCATGGAAATCTGTAAGTACAATTTCCTATTTACAATCATTGTTTTGAATTCAGTGGCATTGATGTATCTAGAATTTAATGGTGCTTCATTAGTGATACAATTATTTGATAATGAGGAAATAGAAATTAAGAATAGTAACAAGGTTGAAATGTGGTATTAATAAAGTAGAGCAATTATGTACCATCTAATAATTTTCAAACCTGAAGACAATCAGAAAAAAACAACATCCTTTCAGTGAGACTGTGGTCAAACAAATGGAAAAAACTAGGGAAGCTTAAATTTTTCCCAGTACTTCAAAGCTTTAGTTTTATTTAAAGAGTTATAAATAATCAAAGCAAGAAACAATGCATATGAATACAGAATGGGCAACTGAGTGTAACCATTGTACATTTTGAGATGTAATAGTATGCACTTTGTCAAACTAGTAAAAAGTTTAATGACCTCTGACTTAGACCTCATTACATCCTTAAATTAAGAATTGGAGCCACAAGATACTGCATAGCCACACAAACTTCTCATCAATTACTGTTGATTTATTATAAATACAGCAGGTTAATGTTTATAAGGAAGATTTTAGAAAAATCCTAAGTGAAAGTAGCCCCTTTAAAACAACAGCTATAGAAACATTATAAACAAAGTTTGTAGAAAAATGAATTTTGAAATAATTTACATTAATAATTGTAATATATATTTAAATAAACCTTGCTACTTCTAATTGAATATTAGTGCTTTGAATTGCTGATATGACCTTCAAGTTTTCTTTACTGTTGATTGCTAAGTTAGTCTATGTTATACTATGATAAACATTTCTTTTCAGCTTAAACATGTTAAATTTTGAATTTTCTTTATTTTGTTATAGATACCGTGTTGAAGGAATAATTCAAGAATCAACATCTAAACTATCTGATTTCCTCTACAAGCCTGAAATTAGAATTACATGGGATAAATCATTGAAAGTGTACAATATGATACACAAGATTGATTCGGTAATTTTTTCATATTAGACTTTTCCTGTGTTAATATAATTTTAGTTTTATATCTTAGTGATTTAAGTGTATTAAACCTATATTATGTACACACTTAATATGTTATAGAGTCACACTGAGTTGAAATCTTTATAAAAGCCTTAAAGCTTCCCTCTTTATCACTCAAGAGTTCAATCCCAGTGAGCTTCACCCTGTTTTAAATGCCCAGCACGTCCCGAATCTGGCAAGCTCTCTCCAAGATGCGCACCTTTGGTTATGAGGAGACAACTCATGGGTTCTGTGACATGAGGTGGGAACAGAGATTAAGCAGGCCTTGGGGAAGGGAGGTCAGTAGGTTCATGGTAGTCACAATGTGCTAGCTGACAGGAACGCGCAGACACCCGCAGGGATGTAAGAACAAGGAGCCTGGGACTTTTTAAGAGGACAAAGGGTGAGTCAGCAGGCACACGGTTGTGCTTTTAGAAACAGTCCTAAACATGTCGTCTCAGCTAAAGGGAAGCGAAGGAGAATAGAGCAAAGAGGAGAGGAAATGCAGGTAACTGTAGAAAGAGCCAGAGAGGCCAGTCGGGCTTAGAAGCAGGGAGAAGAAAATGTCAGTGTGAGGTGAGGGTGGAGTGAAAATTAAGTAGAAACAAAGGAATTAAATGAGAGGAATAATGAGACGTGAAAAAAGGTAGAAACAAGACAGGGTAAGGAATTCTGAACTGTGGAGCAGCACACTGTAAGTCTCTTACCAAGGCTGCTGTACTTCATGGTATGTAAATTATAGCTCAGTAAGATGTTTTTAAAAATCGAGTCATACATTTTGGGCTAATATTAACTTTATTAGAAAGAGGTAGTAAACGTGAATGTTGGAGTAAAGCAAACTTTTATGATTTTCACAAACAATTGCATCTGTAAAAGTCCATATCACTGGGCCTTTGGCTCTTTGAGTCTCCAAACCACATTCTACTCTTCAAAACAAGCATGTCCCACAAATCTGTCACCATCTTATCATTTATTTAGAACTCTAAGTTAACTTTACCTGCTTTTATTAAACTGATTTTAAAGTCTGGGAGTGGAGAAGGGTTATAGAGAAGCCCAGGAAGGTAAGTCAGGTAACAAGAATCACATGCCCATGACCCTCTTGGGATTTGGACATTCAGCTTGGGAAACATGGTTCATCACAAATGAAAATACAAACATTGGATTGTTTCATTCATAACTGTATTAGACTAATTATATAGTTCCATTAGCACTTCAGGTCTTTCTGCTGTTGCTGCAACTCAGCTGTAATAATGGAAAGAATACTAGACTTGGCATCAAGAAACTTGAAAACAGAGTCAGAGCCCGGCCGGGCATGGCTCAGCAGTTGAGCGTTGACCTAGGATCCAGGCGATCGGGGTTCGATTCCCGGTCAGGGCACATGCCCGGGTTGCGGGCTCGATCAATGACTCTCTCATCATTGATGTTTCTATCTGTCTTTCCCTCTCCCTTCCTCTCTCTGAAATCAATAAAGATATATTTTAAAAAAAAAGAAAAGAAAGCAGAGTCAGAGAAATTATGTGACTTGCTCAAGGTCAGCACAGCCAACAATACATGGTAGAACCAGGGTTTATTCCTGATCTCCTCCAAATCGCAGACCCTTTCCTATATACCACAGTATCTGAATAGCTTTACCCTGTAAGAACTGTTTTATCTTCTGTGAATATTTAGAGTGTCATCTTCAGGGGTACGTTTTAATTGACTCATTCATCCCATTGGTAAGGGAGGGATTCCAGCTCTAGGGTTGTAGGGGTAGTAAAACACCTGGTACCTGCCACTAGGCAAATGAGAGCAACAGTTGTTTATTAATAATTAATTACAGCCCAGGGAAAACTGTTATCATTTTGTTAACATTTGTTAAGTGGAGCATAGGGTGCCGGCTGTTGAGCCCTGTTTCAATAAAAGATCATAAGGGAAAATGAAATAGAGAAGTTTATTACTCACAGGTCCTGGAGGAAGTACAAAGCAAGCCTCAAGGGGCCACCCAGGGAGGTCCAGGCAGGGTACAGGAGGAAACAGAGGCAGGACCTGAGGCACATGTCTTTATTAGGGTCTGTGAGTGGAGTGCATTAGAGGGGTTTCCAGGGTAAGGCCTGATTGGTCAACTCAAACCAAAAAGAGCAGGGTTTTGGTAAACTCCATGGGGGTTTTACATAAGGGGTTCATAAGGGGAAGGCCCTGAGAGGCTGGGGAGACTGCTGAACACAGGGCTATGGGGAAAGTCAAACCAGGAATTTACATTTGCTTATGAGTATGGGCTGTTAGCTAGGGCATGCACTTGCATGAGGGGGCTGGTGCCAGTTTAAGGCCCCTGCAGGCTGCCTGGCCAAATAAAATGGATGCTGAGGCAATATCATGCATGAGCTCTGCTACACTCTCAAGGACACATCATGCCATGCAGTATGAAATGGGATTTGCCTTTGGGGACAGAGAATAACCAAGGGGACAGGCTTTGTCCTACCAAGAAGTTGAGGTGACCCGAGTCCTGCAGGAGGATGCAACTGATTGTTGGAATAGCTCTCCAGGCTAGCAGGAAGCTGAAACGCAATACTCAGGACAAGTAGGAACCGTGCCTGACCCAGTTGATAAGGGGGGCCATTTGGCTAAGGGGTCCTTATCCGTGGGAACAGTCAGAAAAACTTGCAGTTAGGCCATTCAAGACCCTCTCTATTTTCACCAGACGTCTTGTCAGCACATAATATTGGTCATTTAATTTTAGGCCTTATACCATAGGTTCTAAATCAATATATTTTTCATAATATATTACCTAGCCTATGTGGAATAGTAGAAATAGTACTGTACTGGAAATCAGGAAGTCTGGGTTCTAGTTCTGTACTTATCTCTAGTTGTGCATGTGACCTAATCTGTTAGGCTTCAATTCTTTTAAAATTTCGGAGTAGATGATACAAAGATTACTTTCTGAATGTTATGCATTAATAATTAATAGATATATGATGGCAAATATATTCTCCCATTCGGTAGGTTGCCTTTTCATTTTGTTGATGGTGGCCTTTGTTGTGCAGAAGCTTTTTAGTTTGATGTAGTCCCACTTGTTTGTTTTTGCTTCTGTTGCCCTGCATTTATAATATCTAATGTTCCTTTAGCACAGAAAATGCAGGCTGATTTGGTGATAAGTTCTTAAAACTTCAAAGCCCTGCTTTTTTCAAATAGAGGCCAATCTTCTGCAGTGAAATTCTTTGGGGAGCAATACAAAGAATAGGTATTAAATAATTGTTGCAATCTTTATGATTTGTTTCAGGAAACATGCATATGTCATGCCATTACCCAAAGTTTTGCCATGGGCTCAATTTCCCCCCGAGACTTTATCGACGTAGTGTACTTCAAGCGCTATGAAGGGAACGTGAATGTTATCAGTTGTAAGTTGAAACATTTTGCCCACATTTTTAGAGTTATTATGAATTATTAATAATTTTTTCCTTTAACTCACATTTTGGAAGTAATATTTTCAATTCTTTATTTACTTGGTGAGACTAATAAATACATGTATAATATAGACAAGCCTGCTGTTTTTACCCAAATCTGGAGGTGCCATTTACATCATAGTCAATGACTGTGGCATCTCCTGCCCTTTCTGCAGCATATATCCTGCAGCACTGGGTACAGGTAGATACCTGTAGGCTGAAACTTCACAGCATGCATTTTAAAACTAAGAAACAAAAGTAATCTTTAGATACATTGTTTTATATTTGAATTGCATAGGATGGGCATATCCAGTAACTGACAAAATTCCTGAATATACTTTCACTAGGTGGGTCTTTACAGAAATGTGCTTATATTTCTTTTAGAACATGGTGGTTTTGATATATCCTTAGCCTCCCAAAATATGTCACTCAGTAAAACCACAATGTGTAACCATTTCCTAACTTTTGTTACTCACTTGAAACATACCAGCTCATACCATGAAGATCTCTGGAGTCAGACAACTCAAGATAAGTCATGGTGAAGGGACTTTGGCAGGACAGTGGCCTAAAGCCCTGTTTCTCCCCATAATTTCAATTTAATCTGACCACTACTATCTGGATAGCTTTCCCTACTATAAACTACTTGGGGATAGGGACAGTTAAGTGTTGTTAATTATTATTTTCCAACAAGGTTTCTGTCTATAGACTAAGTTTCAGAGTCCAGACTGAATCATAGCTGTGCTAACAGCATCACCAAACTGTTAGCTCTGGTGCAACATACCACTAAGGACTGATGCTCATCCCTTTCATGTAGTTGTCATTTAGTTATTTCTTAAATGAGAGCAGATAAAAATTTGCTCACTGCCTACAACACAAAATAGTGTCTGAACCATAGATCTGTTATTTTCCGTGTTTTGAAAGCAGACCATTTCTATCTCATTTTTAGGGGTAAAAAAGAAGTATGGAAGTTAAAATCAACAAATGATTATAATCAGTCATTCCGTGATCAGTACTGAATTTGTTTTAAGCAATTTCTTTGAATGAATTACCAATGAACACTGATAGTTTTCTTCTTCACATTTCTTTTGCTGTTATTTAGCTTCCTATGCTTTGAGCTAAATATTTTGCATGCTTTATCTCACCTGTAAGGAAACCGACGTTCAGAGAAAATAAGATAGCATTAAGCTGCTGAACCAGAATTAAAATCCAAGTCTTCCTGATTTTCCAAAATCACAGAAGATCCATATTTCTTCGTGGATATAACAAATTATCTTTTAAGGACAAGCATAATCTCCATATTTTAAACAGAAAAATGTTAATATCACTTCCAGTAGTACCATTATGCCAACATAATAGTCTCTGTTAAGGTGATGAAACAGGTCATAAAAATGGAAAAGTCATTGAACCACATTTGTCTCCTAAGCTAGTCCTAAGCTGGTGTTTAACATTGTACGTCCCACAGAATTGATGGCTCATGTTAAAATCATATAGGAAGATCCATCTTCTCTGATGGGAGTAGGATTCAGTTGCACAGAATAAACAAATATATATTTTAAATATTTTTAGAAAGAGTATATATAATTATCATAAACAATCATAACCAAATCACCTCCCTTCTATATTCATATACAATAGTTATGCTGCATAATTCCTAAAACAAACTCAATTGATTTTTAATTATACTTTGAAGCTCCCTAAAATGTAGAAAAGGGCATTTAAACTATCTTTATTGACAGACCAAATAAACACATCGAACACATTTTATTTAAAAAATGATTAACAAAAAAATCTATAAGCACATGCTCCTAATAGAATAGCCTGTGACTTTTTTTGCTGCTCCAAATCCCAGAAAATAATAAAATGATACATTTAAGTTTTTCCTGTATATAAAAGGTAACAGCATCTTTAGAAATACTAGCATAAAAATCTTTGATGCCAATAAATTCAATAATAAAGAAACTGTAACGACTAGGGAAAAAAGTGTTTGAGAGGACAATAGTGCTTATACTGTATTTTCTCAGTTTGGGCCTGTGCACACATTCATATGTACAAGCATACATGTGTATTTATAAAACTAATGTCAATGCTGATGATCTAAGTTAAATTAAAAGCTGTGTCATATATATTTTTTTAATATGCTACTTGAAATAGAATTTTTTACCTTTGTGGAATAAGTTGTTGTTTTTTAATCACTTAGCTAAAAGTGTGGATTTTCCAGGATATCCTCAAACTTCAAATTATATCCGTGGTTTTAACCATGCTTGTGGCTTTATCTGTTCACCTCTGCAAGAGTAAGTGTGATTTACATTTATTTATTATAACAGTTTTTTAGTTCATTTTGTGATTTAACTAAAAGGATTCCTAACTCTGCAGTAGAAATATGTACCAACACACTCTATTGGGAAAAAGTTGCCCCCAAATGTGATCTTTAAAATAATTTTTATAAGTATTTTCATATGAAGTATAGTCAGAAAAGATAATTTGCTATAAAGTATGATTTGAGGTTTCTGGGACTGGTCACACATACACAGAATTCCCCCCTCCCTGGTTAACCTTAACCTGATAATTTATATTTCTCCATTAGATTATAATTGTTTAAATTATTAAGGAATTTTTGTGAGTTAAAAATAAATTTTCCTAGAATTATAATGCCCTTACATTTATCAACAATGCATGCTTTATCTTGTATGCATTCTTTCTAACAGACTGCCTACTAAGAACAGATACCTGCAGAATGAGACTTCCAGTAGGTAGATCCAGATAAGAGTTCGAGGAATCAGAGATGAGTCACAGCCTACAGGTGGCCAGCCCAGGGGTAATAAAAATGGCAACATAAAAAACACACACTCTGTAAATGCATGTACAGCAATCCAGTGTGTATCAACTTCACAAAATCCTTAAGTTTTAATTTTTGCTAAATGATTTTAAGTAAAAGATACTGGCACACAAAGACAGATGTAACAACTTTATATTGGTCAGATATAAACTTCTCAGTATGAGAAAAATATTTATGTGAAGGAAGTCAAAATAAAATTAATTTTAGACCTGTATTCCTTATGTTTTCTCTACTGAATTATAAAACTAAAAGAAATCCACAATTATTTGCATTAGTGGACAGATGATTGGTGCAGGTGATGCTGACGATGAACCTATGGCCAGCACTTTGTTCGCCATAGCAGGAGAGAACAAAACAAGGGAAGAGTTGTCACTCCCAGTCAGCACAGCAAATCAGCTGCTGGCAGGGACTTGAGTTGGGAAGCCACACAGCCTAACGTGTGCTTCACAGGCAAAGTCCCCTTCTTGTACCTTGTCAACTTTGCCTTTCCACTGCAAAAACCATGGGACAGAGCTCTGATCTAGACATTCCACAGAGGGCGGGAACTCTGCCCAGCATCCGCTGGAGAAAAGATGTCGTCTCCTTCAGTCTCAGAGAAAGGTACTGACAAGTGATTCTTTTGTGCCTTCTCTTTCCTCGCAGCCCAACATTTTGGACAGCCAACATTTGTAAACAAGTCATGCAGTAAACTTACAAACATTATCAATAGTAAAGGTACTCTCCAGTAAATACTGGAAAGGCTTTCTTGAGTGTAGAGCCCTAGTAAAGTCACATAGAGATTTTAAGACCATACAAACTGCTAATGAGTAGTCTCAATCCAGCATCTGAAGCACCGTAAAAATAGTCTGAACTCCGCCTAGAGAGGGGTATAAGAAAATGGTCCCTCACATGGTTTGTTGGAGCAGTGGTCTTCATACCCCTAAAAAATCTTGTAAAACTATATTCTGCCTTGCATATTTTTAAATTGTTATTAAAATTTTTCATAGGATTAAAATAAGAGTGCAATTTCCAGCATACTCTAAATACTGACTTTTAAAATTTTGTTATAGCCCCTTATAAATGTATCTGATAGAATATAAATTCCTTAACATCTGGAAGCCCACCATTACATTATCAATTTAAAAATATGTACAACCTTTAAGTTAGAAATTTTACATCATTCCTTTTCTCTCCTTCAACCCATATTTTTACTCTTTTTCCCCCTCACATAATTTTATCCTAATAAAATATTCTTTATGCTTTGAATTATTAATCATTCTATCATACGTCTCTGCAAAAATGAGGATTTAATTTTCAAAATTCATTTTATTTTCTCTGACTATATCTATATTAAAAATATATGTGTATGGGATTAAATTGTTATTACATACTTACCAAAATAAAACATATATTGCCAAATATGTTATATAATTATTAAATATTAAAACTGTTATTGGAAACACATTTTATTATTATTAGCAAAGCTTAGCACTTACTATGTGCAGGGAACTGTTATAAACAATTTACATATATTGACTCATTTGGTCTTCACAATAACTCCATGAAGTAGGTAGTATTACATTCCCCATTTTGCAGAAAAGAAAATGAAAGCTCAGAGAAATTAAGTAACTTTCTCAAGGTTACATATAGGTAAAAGCAATGCTCAGCTTTAAGTCAACACAGACTGGTTCCAGAGTGTGTGCTAACCAATCACACTCATTTAACTGTGGATTGATACTACTAATAAAATGACACACTATTATCAAGTCTACTTCTACTTTGCATTTTATAAACATAAGCACTGAGATATTTTGTTCACATAGGTAAGTGGGTTAAAATGGAAAGAGTGTAAGTCTAGCACTGTCCTTTAATCTCTTGAAATTCATCTGAGTTATGTACCATAAATTACAATGATCTATAAGTAAAAACTATTTAATGACCTATCAACTGACAACTAAATTGGATCCTTAAATTTTATTTAAGCCAAGAATTGACCACCTGACTTGGTAAGGATTTTTCACCCAGTCATCAGTCATTCACTTTTTCAACTCACTTCCAATAGATCAGGGTTTCCCTTGTCATCTCGAAGATTTTTATACACCAGGGTAAAGCACTACAGTACTACTCAGGACTGTTTGGGGTTGGGGGTGACAGGTATGCCTTTGTTTTGAAAAACAAGAGAAGTGTGATATGAACAGGCTGATGGGAAAGGAAAGTCCACATCTCCATCAGAGACATATTTTCAGATAGTGTAAGGAAAAGATACATAGGGCAGTTAGAGATTTGAAAATGTAGTCCCTTAAAAGTTATTTATCTTCTCGTATGGAAAGGCTTCACATACCCCAGTTTGAACATCACTGGGTCAGAATACAAAAAACTAGCCTTGGAAGGAAATTTGGAAATAAAACTTCAAAATGTTCAATGTACAAAACCTCTGACTTAGAAATTTTGTGTAAGTATTTATAGAAGTGCAAATAGATATATTACAAAGATGTTTACTGCATCTTTGTTCATAGCCACAAAAAGTGAGAAACAATCCAAATGATAGCAGAAAACAGGTTAAACAGTATGAAATACTGTGCACAGTCATGAAAAACACGCAAGCTGGTCTGTATGTATTGACTCAGAAAGACATGCATGATGCTAAGAGGAAAATAAAACTGGTTGCAGAAAAATAAACATCTCATTTTTGTATAATCAAAAATGTATGTGTGTATGTGTGGGGTACACCTTGTCCATATGTGTGCTGTCTTTGTATGTACACAGACAACAGTCCAAAAAGATACAATCAAAACTATACATAGTGATCATCTCTGAGGAACAGAATGAAGGGAACAATCATGAAAATTCTGTATTTACATTTTCATAAGCATACATTTCCTTTGTAATTTAAAGAAGTCAGTACAACAAAAAGAAAAAACTAAAACTGAAGACTTTAAGACATAGCCTGACTAGTTAATATGTTTATGCAAAATATTTACATGTGAAGATCACTGTACCTTTTCTCTCCTCCCTCCCATAGCTGTGTATCCAATCGATAGCACTGGGGGGGGACCCCATGCTTAAGACAAGGCTCCTGCTCTCTATAAGCCTGTAAACTCAACAGATAAATCTAAAGGTTATTTATGGTTCTAACTCTTCCTTTGTTTACAGTAATCCAGCACATTCCAAACTAGTGATGTTCATCCAGACCGAAATGAGAGGGAAGTTGTCCCCATCAATCGTTGAAGCAACCATGCCTTCCAACTTAGTAAGCCTCATCCTCAATGCGAGAGACGGAATAAAGGCCTACAAAGCGGCATCGGGATGTGGGTATCAGAAGGGAAGCCAGTCACTCCGCAAGAAGAAATGAGGCCATCTAAAATCATGGGTAGCAGTTACTGCAGTTTACTTCTAAGTCAATATGCATAAATACTGTTAAACTCTTCTAGACAGTATTCTTGTACACATTACTGAAGGTACACTGGGGAAGTAAGAACTCAGAGCTGTACAAGAGAACAGTATTAAATATAGTTTTGAATCGTGCATAAGAATGATGCTCAAAGACAAGTGTTCTTAATGCACTTTGATCTTTTGCTTTTTTCCCCTGGAAAATGTTCTGCAAAAGAATCAATAAGAAAGTGTATACAGCCAGAGGTCAGCATTAATTAAAGATTAAAATATATTTTATATTGGTTTTCCTTCACTTACTGTTTAAAATTGATAATTGTAGGAAGCATGAATATAAAAATTGAAAAGAATTCCACTAGAATTATGACCAGTGATATCTAGAATTTAAAACTGAATGAATCATGAATAAATTCCCAGTTCTAGTTCCTCCCAAGTCCTTCCTCTTACAAGTAAAAGACCCTGCACATAACACAACAAACACGCATAGGAAGACAAGCATAGAAGGAAAGAAGGCAAGCTTCCTAGGGACCTTTGGGACTTGAGGCATGACATGGCAGTGAGCTCTCTGAGTTTCCTTATTGCCTCCCGTATATTCTGGGCAGGGCGCTACAAGAGGCTCCAACCTGGAACCACCAATAGGAACAAGTTTCTAGAAAAAGCCTGTTCCTCCTAGTCATAGCAGTGGCTATGAATGAAAGGGCGGCCTACCAGAACAAAAATCTTTTTGATAATACCCTACACCAGCCAAACAGCAGCCTAAAAACTGCACCCACCTCATCCTATGGTTTCAGTGGGGCCAAGCAGAAAAGCAGGAGGTGTTGGCAAGGTTGAGCAAGGAGCTAATCTTCCCTCTCCTACCTGCCAGAAGCAGACAGCACTCATCACCCTTCCAGGTGGTGCAGGCTGACCAAACAGGGAGCTGATTTTCTACTTTCCACCCAGCAGAAGCAGTCAGCAGTGCTTTGATACCCCTGCTGGGTAGTGTCAGTGGAGTCCCATGGCAAAGTGAGCTTCCACCTCACCTAGCAGCGACAAAACTTAACCAGCTAGTGCAAAGCAGGGCCACTCACCATCCAGCTTCACTGCCCTCCTGATCCCCAGTGTCACCCAGGCCAAGCAGGATGCTGAGCCTCCATCCCAACCAGCATCAGTGCTTTCCCATCTGTAGTATGTTGAATGGTGCCCCCTCCCCCCAAAGATATGTCTGTGTCAAATCCCTGGAACCCTGAATGTGGCCTTATTTGGAAAAAGGATCTTTGCAGATGCAAGTTAAGGACCTCAAAATGAGATCATCCTGGGTTACCTGGGTGGGCCCGAAATCTAATCACATGCTTATGAGATGCACAGTGGAGAGATGGGTGGAGAACACCATGTGGCAGACACTGGAGTTCTACAGCTACAAACCAAGAAACACCTAGTGCCACCAGAAGCTGGAAGAGACAAAGATTCTCCCCTAGAACCTTTAGAGGCCCTGATGACACTTTGATTTCAGACATCTGCCCCCCAGAACTGAGAGAGAATAAATTTGTTCTTTAAGCTACCAAATTTGTGGTAGTTATAGCAGTTGTAGGAAACTAATACACCCCTTTTGGTGTCTGAGCAGAGTTCAGTAGCATCTAGACCTCCACTCCCACCTGGCATCAACAAGGTGAAACGAGGTAGTGGGGCATGGCTAGTCAGCACTCTACCCACCCCCCACCCCCGCCCAGGTGTCCTTGGGACCCTGTAGCAGACTTCAGTCTAGGATCCTGTGATATATGTCGGGTGCAAATGCAGCTCCCTTTGATCCAGAGACCTATGAAATAAAAAAGCAAATGATCTGCCCTTCTGCGCGCGCGCACACACACACACACACACACACACATACACACACGCTATACAATTATAAAAAAGGAATGGGATAATCACAGTAAACACCCACTGGAAGGAGTGAAGGATGGGAAGCCTACGGTCACTGGTTCGTAACAATTCCAACATCCCACTGGGCTGCCCAGATCCTGGAAACAGGGAAATGCTCCCAAATGAGACAGGGCTCCTGCTCCCTGGGAGCTGCCCCCGACTCCGTCCCCACAGCTTTCCGTGACACGCAGACCTCCTCCTCCTCCCTCCTCTGCCTCGGTTCCTTTTGAAATGATCCCTGTTTGCAGCTGATGAACGTTTTCAGACTGCTTCCTACCCAAAACAGTCAAGGACCAAGAGGCAGCTCTATAGCTTCATCCATCTCTTAGGCTAGTACCTCTCTTTCAAACTTCAGCTCTCTGTATCCGATTAGGGTCCGCGACGCACCCCAAAGCCACACCTATAAGCGGGATCAACATACGCCTTTCTAGATTTTCTGACTGCCCCTTTGATCAGGCTTCTTCTGTGGGACCATGGCCTTAGGCTTTGTCCACTTGACAGGTCTGCTCACCACCTTAACTCTCAGAAGTCTCATGGAAGTGTCTGATAGTCACAGTCTTGATTTCATGCTGGGCATGTGCTCATGTCTTACTTTGAGACGCTGCTATCTGGGAGGCTAGAGGTAAGACAGCGGTTTTATTTTCCAATTGAGTAGCTCTGGCTTTCTCTATTACCTTCAACTTCTGCTTGCGACTGAACCAAGGTTTTTTTAAAGCTCAGCTCTTTCGTGCGGTACTTCAGCCTATGCAGCCACCAGGGGGCGCGTTCTACACTTTACAGCAGATACCTTTGCCCAAGGCCAAAGTTCTTAGGTCTATTTTCTGTTCCCCAAGGGCACAGGCAACTGTTTTATCAAATGTTTCATAACAGCTTCTTTTTTTTAATATATATATATCTATATTGATTTCAGAGAGAGGAAGGAGAGGGAGAGAGAGAGAGAGAAACATCAATGATGGGAGAGTCGTCATTGATCGGCTGCCTCCTGCACACCCCTGACTGGGGATCCAGCCTGCAACCTGGGCATGTGCCCTGACGGGGAATCGAACCCTGATCGCCTGGATCCTAGGTCGGTGCTTAACTGCTGAGCCACGCCCGGCCGGGCACCTTCTTAATAAAGCAGTTTCCTTACCATAATTACATTTTCTGCTAACAGTTTTCTCAACTCCCTACTGCTCAAAAGCCAATACTGCCCTGGCTGGTTTGCCCAGCGGTTAGAGCATTGGCCCTTTTTGTTTGTTTCTGAGGTTATAATCTGTTTTTTTAATTTTTAAATTTTATTTTTGTTTAAAATATTACAGATGTCCCTTTTTCTCCCCAATGACCCATTCCACCCCGTCCCATCCCCCTCCCCAGTCCCTCTCCCCACCACCGTTCATGAAGTAAGCCAGGCAGAGAAAGACAAACATCACATGATCTCACTTATACGTGGAATCTAAAGAACTTAATAAACTGATGAACAGAATAGATTCAATGACATGCAAGCATGGATCAGACTGACAAATGTCAGAGGGATGGAGGAGGGCGGCTGGGTGGAGGGAGAGAGAGTAACCAAAGCATTGATACGCATATATGCAAAACCCAAGGACACGGACAGTGCCTTATTTTAATGACTGGGATCATTAACACTGATTAGATACGATGGTGGCCTATATAATCACATGACTTCAGCGATGCCACAAACGATCCTGAACTAGCTGATTATTCAGCTACCCAAAAGGCAAATAACTGAATCTGGCTGAGTACCAAGAGTAAAGCTAAACCTCGGTGTATCCCTAGTTAATATGCAGGTATTAGGAGTGTGTACCTCCCAATTCTTCTCACTGTTAGGATGTTACATCAAAAAAGTTGTTTACAATGAACTAGAATATGACAGTCTGGCTAAGTCTATAGATGGAATATTCTATTAATATCTCAAATTTTTCTATCAGTATATCTGTATCCACATTAGTTTACATAAATTAAATGCAGGCTCAATTGTATTACAAATCTGTAATATAGGACAAAAAGAAATTGCCACTATGACACAAATATACTGTAATAACCACTTTTAAAAATTCCGCAGTAATTTTATGCAGACAGGCTCACACACACACACACAGTTGACAGCTTGTGTATCGGCCGCTTATCTCCATTCTACCTTGCTTCTAGTTAGAGAGGATGGAAGCCTGAGAAAACACGCATCCCAGGGGTGGATTGTACCTCGTCTTCTGGTTGCAAATTAGGTTATACCTATTGGCAAAGTCTTGTGTCAGGAGGCAGAGACCATTTTTCTTGTATTTCTTGTTTCTGCTGGCTATCAAGGACAAGGAAAAGTGAGGCTTTTTCCCCTGTGTTCGTGTCCACCTGCCAGATTCTCGTATGCCAAGTGGTGGGTGCGTAACGACAGAGGGAGCAGTAGCTTCCTAATTCCTAGTTCCTGATTCCTGGGTCACAGTGCTGGGTGACTGTCCTCCAGCCTTCTACATGTAGAGCAGCAGTGGCAGTGGTGACAGCGTATGGACTCCAGCTTCTGGAGTTCACAGTTCCGCTGATGGTCTCAAGAGACAGCTCACCTGGTACACTGGTTGTCTAGTCCTCAGATTTGTTTCTGGAGTCCCAGCCTAGAACCCACACCTTCAGCTTCCCCATGATTTTGTAGGCACTTAATTCACTATATTAAACTTCTCCTTGCTTAAAATATCTATAGAAGTTCCACTTTCCTGACCAAAACATTTGAAAGTTTACAGTTTTCTCAAAAGATCTTAACATATTTTAAAAATACTTTATTAGTAGTATCTTAAACTTTGGTATATCTGTGTAATAAATATAATTTAGGAAAGGAAGGATACCCCAAGGATCACCAAATTATGAGAGCCCCACCTCTATATATCAAAAGCAGGACTCTCTTTGTGAACAAAAATGACACATCATCGTTTACATGAGTCAACTTTATAGAACAAAGTTATAAAGATTACAGGAAAAAAATAGTGCAAATAATACTGTGAGGTAACAGGATGAAAGTGAATTTCACACAGCTCAATAATTTATTTACAAGTGGTGGTAGTATGCAGAACAGAGGAATGTGATAAATAAGAAAACAAAATAATTAAATCTAAGTTTGTAGGCAGAAGACAAAACCATGGCCTCCCACAAGGTAACTTGGATGAGATTGACCAGGAAACTCAATGAACTAGTCTCTCAGTAAAATGGTGAACTAGAAAAAATAATCCAACCACAAAATAAAAGACAAAATTAACGGGGTCAGTGGAGGGGACAGGAGTATCCCCTGGGAATCTCATCCCACAGTCTGCCCAGATCTAGGGTTTAGTTTTCAAGATGAGAAATTAAAATGGTCCAAGCTGTGGTTCCCAAAGTGCTGGCAGAAGCAAGTGCAGATATTTTCTGGAGGGACACATGGTATGCAGACCTTATGCGAGTCCCACAAATAAAGCCCAGCAAATATGAGCCCACACTCCAAAACCACAGAACACATGAAGGAAACGGCCAGCATGAATTAGTTGCCAGGAGAAATAATAAAGACAAAAAATTAGTCTTCCACCCAAAAATTTAAACTTATTACCTAATACAGAATAAAAATGTTTAAAATAATAAGTAAAACAAAAACATGACTAATAAACTGTGTTTAATACAGATGGCATAAGAAAAAGACCCAGTAGATTTTTAAAAAAATGAAATAGAACTTTGTGTCATTCTAGGAACAGGGCAGAACAGACACAACCTAAGTGTTTTAAGCAGAAGGGGACAGATTTAATACAGCTAATTAGACACGTAGAGCTCTGTTGGAAGAGTAGGAAGGGTGGGATCTAGGCCATCAGGGATGTCTACCAGAATACTGTGGAGGCGACTGGCCAGGAGAGATACTACCTCTAAGTCTACACTGGAACTGTTATATGCAAGAACATATATTACAGCTGTAATCCTATTATCAGGAAATCATTACTTTTACTTCCATAAATACTTCTTGACATCCATGAGCTAGTGACCAGGCACCATCACCCTAACAATTCTCCCTCCCAGAGAATAGACTAAAAAATATTATAAAAACGACTCATTTGCACAACCTTATCACCCCAAAAAAGTCAGAAGTGTCAGGAAGATAGACTTCATCTCACCTTCACTATGTAAAATTTAATGCACTTTCACCTTTCAATAATCATGGGAGTACATCTAACTGGCAAAACCTAATTTCCCCCCACAGGACCCATGCTACACTAATGACGTGAGGCAACATGAGGAATGGGTGAAACTAATTGAAAAATATATTCCTAGATTCTCTACCCAACTCCAACAGAAGACTAGAGATTTATTCTCCAGAGAAGAATAAAACAAGATGGTCTCTGAACTGGACAATGCCAAGTACAGTTGAGAACGTAGGAAGTGTACTAAAAGGAGGATTGAATGACTATATGTATACTGAATGGTGAAACTTCCAATCCCCTTCTCCCACTCTGGTCCCACAACACAAGAACATCCATAATTCACATAGGTTATCTCAAGCATCATCATTGAGAAATACAAACAGTCCAAGAGGAAAGACCTAATGATACTGACATCAGGAGTTTCCCCCCAAATGGCCCAGGCAGATCATCCTGCATGAAATTTAAAGCTGACAAGTCCTTTTCAAGCTACCAGAGCGTCCAATCAGATTTTTAGTCACACACTCTTAATCGAACAACTAACAGCAAATTCAAATACGAGAAATCTTTGGAAGTTCTATGACTAACATCTTTAGAGAGATAATAAAATATTGTATCCAAGAAACAGGATGCTATGGAAAGGAACATTTAGAGAACAAGAAATTACCTGTAAAAGTCAATGAATGAAAAAGACACGCGCACACACACAGTCTATGAATGAGCCCTATCTGGTTTTGCTCAGTGGTTAGAGCGTCAGCCCGCGGACTGAAGGGTCTCGGGTTCGATTCCTGTCAAGGACATGTACCTTGGTTGCAGGCTCCATCCCGGCCCCGGTCTCTCTCACATTGATGTTTCTCTCTCTCTCCCCCTTCCACTCTCTCTGAAAAGCAATGGAAAAAAATATCCTCAGGTGAGGATAAAAAAGTCTACGAATGAGGCCCTACAATTCCTTAGTTCACTCATTTGAAGAGTTTCCAGGGTGCAGTACTGGGTGGAGAGAGCCAGAGAGAACCTAGCAGTCTGTGAATTGAGCAGACAAGAGCTGAGAGTCTGGAGACACCAAAGTGGCCAGAGTTCATAGGGCAGAATACTGGAGGAGAGAGGCTGCCCAGAGAGCTGCAAAGAATAACCCTCGAGTCTTCAGCGGAGTACTGATTAGTACAAGAAATTACCCAAGTGTGGGAAGGAACCACTTGAAAGGTGCAAAGGGAAAAAAATCTCCTGAGACCACACAGGACCAGAAATATTTCACGCTATGACCAACCAGAGTAAAAAAAAAAACAACTCACAAATCACAGGGCATGTGTCTTCAGGATTTTGTCTCAGTAGTAGGGTAATATTGTTCCTAGACTAAATGCTGCTTTGGTCACATGTAATAAAGTAACCTTTTAAAGCACAACTCACAAATACTTATAAAACAGAAACGATTATCTAACAAGTTAAAATTCACAATGTCTGCAATACAATTTTAAAAATTACGAAGCATGCATAGAGCAGAAAAATATGACCCATAATAAAAACAAATCAATAGAAATACACACAGAAATGAGCTATAGAAAAAGACCTTAAAACAATTACTAATATTTCATATGTTCAAGAGGATAAAGAAAAACTGAGCATATTAAGTAGAGATATAAAAGATACAAAAATAACCCAATTCAGGTATCCAGAGAAATAAAATGTCTATAACGAAAACTAGTGAAAAGAAATAACAGATGATACACTATGGAAGAAAAATTAGTGAACCTGAAGACAGAGCAATAAAAACTATCCAAAGAGAAAGAGAGAGAAGACTGAAAAAGAAATGAACAGAGCATCAATGAGCTATGTGTTAAAAACATGATAAAAAGAAATCTGTAGCAGAGTAAAAACTGCATAGCTCCAAAGATAAAAGTATTTTAAAACAGCCAAAGAGAAGTCCACAGTTCTAAAGACATTTCAGAAAGTAAAAACAATTCTACTTTGAAATGTCTGAGATGTAAGAAAAAAGGTGAGCCTAAATAAATAAATAACGTGAGCAAACTTAATTACTATATAACATACGAATACTATCCAATTTGAGGGCTACATAAAGAACTAGAGGAATTTGATTAGAATTAATATATTTGAACATCCTCGTATTTGCAGAGAGGGTACAGGTATTTGCCATTTTTAGATGTTAAATTTTTAAAGGTAATCCAAAGTGCTTAGACTGTTTAAATTTCACATCAGTAGAGGTAAAACATGATGAGTAGAAAACCCAACCAATCTGAAAAGAAGGAAAGGGGATGAGGGTGGGAAAGCAGCACAGAACAGGGAACAATTGGTAGTAAAAGATAACATGGAAAAACTAAATTCAAATAGACTTGTACTTCCACACCATGGTGGAAGAGATATGCTTAATACAAAATAGATCTCATAATTCATTGATTGGTTTTACTATATAAATCTCTAACCAGGAAAGGAGCAGGAAGCATGAGGCAAGAAGCTTGGAAGGTAGAGTTTATTCTAAAGGCAAGTGGCCTGCAAATGACCTCTGGAGAGAAAACCTTAGGGCAGTAGCAAGGTCAGGCAGCTCAAAGATGACTCCACTGCCAGGACCTAGGAGGGGTTCAAGTGGTGCCTGTGGATTGTTGTTGCCTCACTGCAGCAAATGCAAATCATACCTGAAGGGAAGCACCACAGTTTAGTCCTCTGTCCTCCCACAGATTAAGCTGGGCCACATGCTCAAGGACACAAGCCAAAATGGTACACACCAATATCAGAAAATTTAGACTTATGAAAACTTACACTAGTACTGAAATAATCAGAAATAAAATATAAAATATTTATGAGGTTTTTTTTATAAGAGACCATAAGGAATAAACAGGAAGATTAGAAAAAGAATCAAGTGAAAAATATACTTACTAAAATTAAAACCATCATTAGTGTTTCAAATAGTGTATCAGACACAGATGAAAAACAAATCAGTGAAGAGACAGAACTGATGAAATTAGTCTAAATGTAGCAGATAAACAAGATAATGAAAAGCAGCAGAGATTAAGGGACATGAAGGATAGAGTAAGAAAGTCCGTGTGTGCAATCGAGAGTCCTAGAATAGGGAAACAATACTCCAAGGGCCAGTGGCTAACAATTTTTTTTTCCTTTAGAAATTAACATGAAATATACAGGATATGAGCATATATCAAGAATAAAAAAAAAACATTCACAATTCCAAACATTATACATTTGTAGAACACTAAAGAAAAAAAGATTATCTTATTAAAAGCAGACAAAGATAAAAGATAACTTAAAAAGTCAGATACTGATTTCTGGCTGAGATAATTATAAGGATTATTAGAACTTTTTAAAAAATAAATTATCTAAAAAAATAATAAACTCCGTTTGAGTTTAACAACCTTATCAGAATACTACATATAGAAACTTCTATAGTTATTTGCATGGTGAATAACTTCTGATGTTCTTGCTACAAGTTGTTTTTGATAACCCCAAATTCCCTGTTAAAAATCCTTGGTGGTTAGGGAATTTTCAAATTTCAAGGAATCTGAAACTAAGTTCACACTTCTTACCTAGAAGAAAGTAATTTTAAGCTACTCTTTATGTTTGTATACTTTATTTTTATTGTCTTTTCTTTAAGTTATATCTGCAAAGGTTATAAACAGGACTCCTCCAAACAGTACTAAGGGATACCGCGACGTGTTCTAGAAACATCCTCTACCTCTTACAAATTAAAGGTGTCTACAATCTTATACCCAATTTTTAATCTAGCAGGCAAAAGATGAAGGCAGTAACATGTAAGAAAGAGGACATCCATCAGTTTAGTAACTGTGCATATTAGCTGTGGGTGTGAAATTCTTAATCTCACCTCCAAAATGTAGAGAAGATGCAAAAACATATAATGCACTGCTTTTAGACCCTACAGACTGGACAGAAAGAAATGTTCTTCCAACTATCTTGCATTCTTAGAGACCCACACCACCTTGCGCTTCTGGTGTCCATCCTTCCCTTAATCTTTCTGCTTAGAGTTCCTTCTAGTTTTCTACATGTATATACACTCCCCTGCCCAGCTCCCCATCTGGCCCCTGCCACACAATTCACTTATTCAACAGTTATTGAGTGCCCTCTGTGTGTCACGCATTGTGGTAAGTTCTAGGTGTAATAAGAGGCATTAACTGAATTCGCATCACTTTGCTATTTTTAAAAAATTAACTTAATAAATGATAAAGCACTTCAAAGATATCTACATTTTTAATAGGTGAGTTGGCAGAATTTCTTATTTGGCTGCTTCTCACTGGGCTGAATTTCATAAGCCATTCCATATTTCAGAAAAAAAAATTCTTTGCTATAGCATAGTAATGATTTGGTCAGTCTATTTTTTTATATGTAGGCATATACAGTATACCTTTCCCCTCAATTTATGGAAAATGAACTAATGCTGACCAAGATATATTTTTATTGAAAAGCATTATAAAATAGTTTTAGAAATAAGAGGAAGGTAATGTTTTACATTATTTCTTCTATTATGAATTTTTTATACTTTGTGCCAGAATTTACTTCCCATAACTATTCTTGCTTTATTTGGAATATTTTATATTGGATTGTGACATTATTGAATATTAGTGTTTAATTTAGATGAGCTTAATAAACTGCTAATCTGAGAACAATGGTCTTTCCCTTGCTTTTTAGACCTTTCTTCTGAACATGCTTATTTATGTACAATGTAGAAATCTGATCCTGTTCTCTTCCAATCAGCCAACAGCTCTTTTTGTACCTCTTCTGGTAGTTCATAGAAAACTTCAGGATCAACATCAGAAGGAAAGGTAATTTTCTCAGCAGAATCTTGCTCTATATTTTCTGCAAGTCCTTCAGGATGAGACGCTGTTGCTGGTGGTTGCTTATGGCTATCTGATGTGAGGTTTTTGGAGAAAAGCTGCTCACTCTGCAAATTTGGAAATGAATGGAAAACAGACACAGTGGGGTTTGTATTTGAAAAGTGGAATCCTTGAGATTCTGTAGGTCCTTGACTCATTCGTTCATCTTTTAAACTATTGTCTAGATAATGTGAATAATCCTTTTGGCTAGACAGGTAAGAGGAACTATTGCTATTTAAGCCTGAGGTTCCAGGTTCACATGGAGATAACGACGGTATCTGTTTGCTATTAGATAAATGATCTCTAGAACTTAAGGGACTATTTTGCATTTGTTTTGTAGAAAAGAAAGATAATACTCCTCTAGAGGCATGTAATGGACAACTCAAACTTCCTTTCCCTTGAACTTTTTCTCTAGATTTTCCAGACAGGATTTCTTCTTGAATATCTACTGGAAGCTGCTTAAAGACTTCTTGGTCAATACCCTCAGGAAGTGAGCAGGGTAGAAATTCATCACTGTTTTTATCTTTAGAAAAATTTAGAGTATCTAGTGGAGACTCCCCAGTTCTTGTACTTTCAATTCTTCCAGTTGGTAGGAAATCACAATTTGTTTCTTTGTCTTTGGAAAAATCCTCCATATGAGTATCTTTCATTTTCTAGAACACAAGGATAACATAATAATTTAGGTATCTAACATCTTTAAATATTCATGCTGCTAAAGTGTGAATATACCTATTATCTGACCAATGTTTTTCTATCCTACTCAATAACTTCAATCCTTCTGGCCAATTCCCAGCAGCTAGAGATGACTAATCCACCACAATCAGTCACACTATTGTGTGGATCTTTACTCACTATTTCAGGCAGAGATTCCTTCCTAGACAGCTCTGAGCCAGAAGATAAGTATTCATTTAGAGACCTGGAAAGGATCTTAACAATCATGTATGCAAACTTCCAATTCTGTGGATAAAAGAATGATGGCCTAGAAAAGGAAATGATTCACTGAGCGGTATCTAAATACTTAGATATATTATACAAGGTGTCCCAAAAAAATGTATACACACTTTAACAGCTGATAGCTCAATTTTGAAAATGAAATGTATTTTAATAAACACTGACTTTATAATTATTCTAAGTGTGTGTATACATTTTTCAGAACACCCTACTTGTATAAATATATATAGACAGGCTTATCTGTATGTGTGCATAGAACATCAAGGACTAGTTTTCTGAAAATCCTTATTCTAAATTGTAACATTTAACAGAAAGGAAAAAAAAAAATTCTTCGGTAAAAATCCAACAACATTATTAAGATATAACACTTTTTTAAAAATTAAATTTACTGGAGTGACATTGGTTGGTAAGATTATATAGGTTTCAAGTGTAAATTCTATGATACATCATCTATATACTGAATTGTGTGCTCACTACCCAAAGTCACATCTTCTTCCATCACTATATATTTGACCCCCTTTTACTACCCCTTTTATATATACATGAAATAAAAATTTAAAAGCACCTTCAATTCTAAGTTGTATTTTTTTTGCTCTTAAAAAATTTCTCTAATTTTATTGAAATGTAATTGACAGATAAAAATTCTACATATTTAAGGTATACAATGTGATGTTGATTACTTTAATCAGGTTAATCCACATATCCATCACCTCACATTATTTACCACTGTGTGTGTTTGGGGGGGGTAAGAACACAATATCTATTCTTATAGAAAATTTCAAGTATTCAATACATTATTATTAATTATAATCACCATGTTGTACGTTAGAGCTCTAGAACTTTTTTATTAGCATAACTGAAACTCAATACTCTTTTGGGGGGGCAATTTTACATAAGGGATCTCCTTTTCTTTTTTAAACTTATCTTTATTGTTGAAAGTATTACAGATATATTTTTATGTAAAACTTTTCACTTAAATTTTTAAGCAGCATAAAAATGTACACACAGTCAAATATAACTCAGGAAACAACAACACAATAACTTCAAAAAAGTTAAAGAAGAAGTGATTCGTGTCATTGTATTTATTGAGCACCTTTTGTGTGCCAGACACACACAAGGCACTTTCACTTATATTTACCTCTCTAATACCACTGTAAATTAAAGACCTTTAATTCTCATTCTACAGATTAAAAAGTAAAAAGTCAACACTTTTTTAAAATTTCAGTTAATAAATGGAATAAAATTGGTCAGAGAAAAAAAGTAATTTGAAGAGGACACTAATTCATTATTTCTATAATACTATTCTGTTCTCATTTTAATCTTAAATGTAAATAAAATATTACTAAAAGTATACTGATTAAATAATAAAAAATAAAGAAAAGAATAAAAACACTTTTGAATTAATTGTAGGTATGCACAATTTACTAGAAGATGATATTTTTAAAAAAGAATCCCACATTTAGTAAATACAGGTTTGCCAAATGATCATATACAGGGCTTTGTTTTAGTCATCTGAAAATATGCCTGACCTTTGCCTCTACTGCCACACTCTTATTTCTACAATTGTAAAACGAGCAGTCATATTCTATCAATACTGCTATCCAAATTCAATTTAATTTAAAAACCAAGAAAATTTAAATACTTTAACAAAACACTGAGGAAGTGCTGGTAGGTTATGTATAAATTAACAGACAAAATAATTTGATTTCCAGTATCTGAAAATACTTTCATATTTATGAGCTCATCATCATATTCCTGTATATGGTTATAAATGTTTCAATACTTCCAAAACAGGGAATCTCTATAATGATTTTCTCTTTTACCCAGTGATGCTTATGCTTTCTTCTTGATCACAATACAGTATACTTAAGGCTGGCAACTATAATATGATAAGTATTAAATACATGTAAGTCATTCAAAAAATATAACCCAAACTCTAAATTGTATCAGTTAAACACAAACTGAGATTTGTAATTTAACTACACAAATCCAGTAACACTGTACTTACAAAACTGCGCTTGCCAGAGCGTGAAGTTGTTGATAGTGATGGTGTTAAATAATAATCAATAGTCCCTTTCTTAGCAGTATTTAGTGACTTAAGGTTGCAGAAGCACACACTTAAAAGGGTTAGGTGAAATGGCATCTTCACATTCACCATGTTGCGAAAAAGTTTCATAAGTATATCAACCATTGGTGTCATCGCATCATAACTTCCTAAATAAAATGTTTAAGAAGACAGCATCTAAACACATTATATAATAATTAAGAGCTTAATCTAATTTAAATTAAAATTCTAAACAGATATCATTAGGACTTCTTGACAGTATATATAAAACTAGGACATCTCAATGCTGATACTAAATGCAAATGAGTAAAAGTTTTGAAAAGATTTGAAATATGAGATATTGGTCATGGTAGAGTGATGACATCAGAAAATCTCCCCCTGTGCTATGCTCTCATGTCGATGTTTCTCTCTTTTAACCCTTCCTCTCTCTAAAATTCAATAAACTATTCTTTTTTTTTTTTTTAATATAT